CAAAATTGGTGGACTTGTTTAGAATCAGACAGGGATTGATGCCTCTGGCGGTGAGCTCTTCGTCCCCTCCCATCCTTATGTGGGCCTTCAAGCACTCAATGATACAGTTTGAGAATGCAAAAGTTACAGAGATTCAGAAACAGTGCAACTAAAGAAACGTGTGTAACATATAGTCTGGTGTCGTTTTGTTGAGCACACATATACCTAGATGCATAATGCCCTGTCACGACACAATTTTATTTTCTAATTGAGTTTCAAGTGTGGTCTTTTGAATGCAACCTATTCTATGACCACACACCAATCAAATTCATTTCTAATCTTTCCAATTAAAGACACATGGGTATCATAATCATTACAAACAACTGTTCACTGTTCATTTTTACACTGCTTGCTGATCATTTGTTTCTAAAGTCTTACAATCTTGTCACTGATAGCAGTCCTATTTTCACTCTTGCAAAGAGATGGAATTCCAATTGGAATACAAGTATGTATTCTCCATTCGAGTGGGATGGCCGTTCCTGAAACATTTTTTTTTTCTGTGAAAAGTATGGTGCAATACCTCAGCCAAGCTGGGAGACAACAGAGCCTAGAGGGCATGTATACAAGTATTAGTTACTGGGTTTGTGTTTTTCTGGTAACTGAATATCATGCACCACTACAAGATATGAAGTCCATGTTGTGAAACTTTAGAAGCAACTTTGTTTTTTGCTGGATCCTTGGATAAGCTGTGATCATTTCCAGCACAACTCAATCATCGATTTGATGGTATGTACTGTTTTAAGGATATATCGAGTTTTTTAGAACAAAAAGAATGTGCAGCCAGAAACCTCACTTAGGCTTTCAACTGCCTAGGTAAAATGGAAATCTTATTTTCTTAAGAGCCAATCATGCTGACTATTGATGGGCATCTGTAGTGGCTTTTTGAGCAGTGGGAGTTGGAAGTGAAGGGAATTATATGCTGGCTGGGTGAGTTCTACCTTTTCAAAGTCAGTTGATAAAATTATAAACTACAAATTAACTTTATAAACGATAGATTTCTACTTCTTCCGTTATGTTTTCAGAGGTTTTTACATGCAAATGACAAGGACGGGAAGCTCTAGAGCTCTTCCATGCCATGGCCTTGAAATAGGAGGAGATCGCTTTCGTGAACGTGTGGCAGTTCTTGGAGTCTGCAGCCATGGCTTGAATCTCACTGCAGATCGCTTCAGCAGCATGTGTTTGCAAGGCCCGGGAAGCTGAAGGATTCCAAGGGGATGCTGGGCAAGAGGAGTGAGAGAGTCTGCTGGTAGCTTGTCGAATTTACTGGGATCTAAGCACTGCTTTGCAGACGGCACAGGAGTTTGGTGGTTGTAACAAGGATCTTTTTTCATATAGATGCGGTGCTCTCTACCTCCTCAGCTGTTACCTGATTAAGGTTAGGGGGGCCCCGTGCTCCCCCGAGAACACATGACGCGAGCGCCGTCCCCCGGGGCCGATGCTGCCCCGGGGGCGCGGCTTGGAAATCCAATTTCGAACGGTCGAGGAGATAAATCCTTTGCAGACGACTTAAATAGGGGACGGGGTTATATAATGCTTGCAAAAGGTGGCAGATAAGTTTTTGAAGTGTTTTGTAAAATTGGGAGAATGTTTTGATATATTTGAGTGTGTATTTCTTTAAAAGGAGTGGAAGCTTTCAAGACACAGCTTTTCAAAACTTGGTTTTTTTTTTCTCTTTCTTTCTTTCTTTCTATTCTTGTTTTCATCTCTCATTTTTTTCAAAACATCAAAGGCCTACATATGAATGAATGATTGTTTTGGAAGTTAGTTGTATCGTTCTCTTGTGCTATTTGACACATTTCTTGTCGCCATTTCCAATGGGGCTTTTGCAAATGCAGGGGTAAGCTGTAGGTGTGTGTCTGACCTCATCTCCAGATAATGTAAATGCCAGAGTTTTTTTTTTTTTTGGTGTGTCTGCTCTTGGAACCAATGCTTGTGAAGGCGCTTCCGTTTTTCTTGCTCATCTGTCTCACACTCACTGAATAATCATCCTCTGACACCTTAAGAACGCCTTAGCAGTTGATCCACACAACAAAACAAAAAAATGGCACTATCGCAAAAATCTAGAGGCAATGTGATCCCAGAGCCAGCCAACGCAGATCCTAGGCTCTGCACTTGATGCTCATGGCAATCCGCTGCAATTGGAGGGAAAAGAGAAAAAACTCAGTTAAAACTGGATCTTACAAGTACAAAACCAAACAAAGATAAATGCTACTTGTACACTGGTTTGGGGAGCTTGATCAACGTATTTTAGTGGTTGTTTCTCCTTTTGAAGAGTTCCCCTGCAGGATAAAAGTCTTTTGCTAAGCAAACATGAGTCGTAATCTGCAAGGAAAAGTCAATTTAGAAAGCAAGATCAATTCCTGAATCTCTCTTTCAGCACATGCGCAATTAACCTGTTCAAAAGATCAGTGCAAGTTTTAAGTCAGAAATATCACATTGTTTCTGCTGATTATGACGCTCTTATCTGTGCTCTTCATGGCAAAATACTGGCAGGAACCTTTCAACTCTACTAAATTTACACTTGCATCATAAAAAGGCTTTTTAATCCCATATATAAGAAACGACTATGAAAAAACTCACCTTCCTGTGTCACCAAAACCAAGAGATTTGACAGGCCAAAAATGGTGGAGTCCGTTTCTCACCACTAGTTTGAATCTGCATTTAGAACAAGCAAGAAAACTGGAGAAGTCATCAGACTAAACATGCACTCATGAATCTTTCTAATAGCATCCCAAGAGTTTAGATAAACGACTTTAGAGTGTTTAGCCCAAAGGTTGTTGGTTGTCTTGACTGGACACGAGCAAAAGAAAAATAAATATTGAACTCCCTAACAACCCTCTGTTACTTGCTCCTGCACAAGAAGAACAAGTTAGCCACAGAGATCAAGAGAAACGAGGGATCATTTTAAAACCTAGAGCCATATGCATGCTGGGAATCGACAGGATGAGAGATCCAGGAGCACCAGGCAGTCTCTTCGTTGCTTGATCATATATGAGCTGCCCAAGCACGTACTCCTTGTTGTACATAATAAGAGTCAGTAAAATATGCACATGTAAAGAAGCACTGAGAATATGCATACATCTGAACCAGGTCTGCAGCTGCATCATGTCTTGACAACACTGTCACCTCCAAACCTCGCAGCATATCTCTGGCCTAAAGAAATCGTCAACAAGAACAACATAAGAAAGAGGAAACGTACCATAAAATTTGCAGTCTCTTGATCTTCCAAAGTCGTATCAAACAATGACATGACCAGTGACTGGGTATAAATATTTTTCCTTTGACAAGATTGTATGGCACACACAACACGGTGAACAGGAGGGATTGTACACTTGCATCACAAAAAGGCTTTTTAATCCCATAATTAAGAAACGACTATGAAAAAACTTGCCTTCCTGTGTCACCAAATTCAAGAGATTTGACAGGCTGAAAATGGTGGAGTCAATTTCGCGCCACTAGTTTGAATCTGCATTTCAAACAAACAAGAAAACTAGAGAAGTTATCAGACTAAACATAGGCTTATGAACCTTTCTAATAGCATCCCGAGAGTTTAGATAAACGACTTTAGAGTGTTTAGCCCAAAGGCCGTTGGTTGTCTGGACACGAATAAAAGAAACAAAATCTTGAACTCCCAAACAGCCCTCTGTTACTCGCTCCTGCGCAACAAAAACCAAGTTAGCCTTAGAGATCAAGAGAAATGAGAGTTCAGCCATTTGCATGCTGGGAATCGTGTTGCAAGCCCTTGGCGTGACAGGGTGAGAAATCCGGGAGCAGCAGCCAGTGGGAAACTCGTCCCAGAGCTGGAGATCGTGTTCTTCAGACTGTCCGCCATTGACCTGTGCATGTGTCGCGAATGGCGATGAACAATCAACGATCCAGCCTTTTGCTTCTGCCACCAAAACCAAGAGCTTTGACAGGCTGAAAACGGTGGAGTCAGTTTCTCGCCACTAATTTGAATCTGCATTTCAAACAAGCAAGAAAACTGGAGAAGTCATCAGACTAAACATGCGCTCATGAATCTTTCTAATAGCATCCCAAGAGTTTAGATAAACGACTTTAGAGTGTTTAGCCCAAAGGTCGTTGGTTTTCTGGACACGAGCAAAAGAAAAAAAATCTTGAACTCCCAAACAGCCCTCTGTTACTCGCTCCTGTGCAACAGAAACAACGTTAGCATCAGAGATCAAGAGAAATCCATGAGAAATCCGTTACAGGGTGAGAAATCCGGGAGCATCAGCCAGTGGAGAAGTTGTCACAGAGCTGGAGATCGTATTTTTCAGACTGTCCGCCATTGACCTGTGTGTGTGTTGTGAATGGCGATGAACAATCAACGATCCAGCCTTTTGCAAAGGGTATGCACACTCCCGCTGCTGCGTTCACCACCACAGAGACACACAGACAGACACAGAGAGAGAGAGAGAGAGAGAGAGAGAGAGGTTGCAGCTCACAATCTGCTCGATCGCCCTAAAAGATTCACTTGATTTGGAGGGTCATCAAATTCAAATTTGAAGAGTTGCCACCCCTTGGCACTTTGATCTATGCCATCTATTTGAAGGTTTTCAATTTCAACCGTTAGATTATAAGCATATTCAGAAATAATATTCTAAAAATGGAATAAAAGACGCCGGATGCCATATGCCAATAGCACGTTTAAATAAGGGAGTATGATTCAGAAATAATATTCTAAAAATGGAATAAAAGACGCCGGATGCCATATGCCAATAGCACGTTTAAATAAGGGAGTATGATTCAGAAATAATATTCTAAAAATGGAATAAAAGACGCCGGATGCCATATGCCAATAGCACGTTTAAATAAGGGAGTATGATGTTCTTCAAATTCTTCTTCTTTCATAAGACATACACGAGGTCAAAAAAGTTTTTTTCTTTTGATTTGCTGTAAAACGAAAGGGTAAAAGTGGGAATATTCGTAGACATTTTAGGTTAACATAATGCCCTAAAGTTCGCGAAGTCATGGCAGTCCAGGACGCGAGCGCTGCCGAGGACGACAGCGAGGTTCTCTATCTCGCCAAATGCCTCCAGAAGAGCAGCGTCGTCTCTCATGCTGTGTGCGGCCACATTCGATCGCCGCTGATGCTGGAGGTGGTCTTCGGCAAGGTAGGAGCTCCATCTATCTTGGTTTTGAGCTGGAATTTGCGCGCAGGAGACCGCCCTGGAGCTTGTCGTGCTCGTCGAAGATGGGAGCGTGCAGCCGGTGTGTGAGCAGAGTGTGTTTGGAATCATCAAGGACATGAAATTGCTCCCTTGGAATGAACATCGTCGAGCTCCTTACTCGCAGGTAAGATAAAATTCTATGCTTTAGAACGATGTCCTGTGCTATAGTCTACTGTTAACTAATGTTCCATCTCTCTATCATAGACCTACGGCAAGGACTTACTCGTGCTGCTTTCAGATTCCGGAAAACTCTCCTTCCTGACTTTCAGTGTCGATCTGCACAGGTACCATGGAAATAGAAAAAACAAGGATTTTTTCGCTCTTCTTAACTGTTTTCTCTTTCTCTTTTACAGGTTTGTGGCTGTCAGTCAAATTCATCTCTCTCATCCCGGGACTTCTCTTCGCGAGCTCGGATGGCTACTTGCTGTCGACTCCAGGTGCGATAAAGTCGAACGTTTGATTTCATAGGAAACCTTTTGTGATACAGATCTCGCGCTGTAGCGGTTTCTGCTATCGAAGATTTGGTAGCAATATTTCCTACCTCTGTTGCAGCTGGGGAGAATGTCGTCGAGAAGGCTAGTGTGTTTTTCTTTCTGGAACTAGTTGCCTGACACCCTTCCTTCAGGCCATAAGATATCCAGCAGCGGGTAACGTAGCAAATGACGCAGAGTCAACGTATGGATGGGGAACGATATGGAGCATGGCCTTTGTTGCTAGCCCAGAGGAATCCCACCAGCTTTTGCTCGCGGTAATTTTGCATAGGTACACAGGGTCTAGATAATTTTCTGCTCACCAGGATTGAGAGTAACTCGGGAGTGTTCCTTACAGGAAGGGTGCTCTGTCGAACGAACTGCAAGTTCTACTTTGCGACACGAATGAGCGTTCGATACACTTGGGAGCACGGTATCATCCTTCTGGAGAGCCGGCCATCGATTTTCTAACTTATGGTGTTGTGGAGATGCCCGCATTCCCGGGGTTCGTGCTACTGCTTCGGCTCGGTGAGATTGTACTTGTGGACGCAAGGGCCATCGGCACGACGACTTATCCGGCAAACTTAGTGGCATTCAGCTTGCTAGACTTCAGAGATACAGTGGTGGATGCCGAAGAGCGTCCGAGACCTTATTACCGGGCTCCAGATGACGAGTATGGAGCCAGAGCCAAGCTCTTTATCAGTGCATGGTGCTGGGAACCAGATAGCAAGGGCCAGGCTAGACTGGCTTTCAGTACAGGGAAAGGAGGTATCGACGTTGTCACGCTAAGTCCGGATGCTGCCTCTGGAAGGCCAACTCTTGTTAGAGACTGCCAGTACAAGTGTTCACAGTGCAGGCTTCTTCTCTGGACGAGCGACGGGTTTATGACTGCAATGATAGAGATGGGAGACGGGCATGTTTTAAAGGTGGAAGACGGGCAGCTGAGTTTCCAGAGCTTCGTTCAGAACATCGCTCCTATACTGGACTTCTCGCTGGTGGATTACTACGGGGAGAAGCAAGACCAGATGTTTGCATGCTGCGGTGGTGACGAGGAAGGCTCGGTTAGAATCATACGGAATGGCAACAGCGTGGAAAAGCTTATTTGTACGCCTCCTGTCTACCAAGGCGTGTCAGGGATATGGACGATGAGGTACCGTTTCAAGGATCCATACCATGCCTTCTTCCTGATTTCCTTCGTGGAGGAGACTCGAGTTCTGTCGGTGGGATTGAACTTTGTGGACATCACGGATGCTGTTGGCTTCGAATCTCAAGTCAATACTCTGGCCTGCGGTTTAGTCGAAGATGGATGGGTGGCACAGGTCTGGCGGTACGAGGTCAAGCTTTGTTCTCCCACGAAGGCGGCTCATCCGGCAGGTGTTTCAGGCAGCAGTCCATTGTCCACGACATGGAGGAAACCGGGATACCCGATCAGTGTGGGGGCTGTCTGTCGCAGCAGAGTTATTCTGGCTCTGGCACGACCAGGTCTGCTTCTGATGCTTGGAACCACCCAGACTTCGGCCGAGAGCTTTGAACTGGTAGAGCTTCAGCTTTGTATGATGGAGGCGGAGATATCGTGTATCTCTATTCCGCAAGGAGATATATCCATCCCCGTACCTCCAACTATCGCCGGGCTACACGCAGGGAATACAGTCCCAGCCGGGGTGGATCTCGGGAATGTTTGCGTCGTCGGCACACACAAGCCTTCGGTCGAGCTCCTGTCGATTGTTCCTGGCGACAAGTTTGCTCCCTTTGCCGTCGGTCAAGTGTCATTGATCACCTCGGTTGGCACTGCAGTTAGCGGGTGCATACCACAGGACGTCCGGCTGGCCTTGTTTGATCGCCTCTACATTCTGGCCGGACTGAGAAACGGGATGCTGCTTCGGTATGAATGGCCGGAGGATACGCCCTCACTGGTTTTGAGTAAACCAGCTGAACTCCATCTCATAGCAGCTCGTCGGCTGGGAGTATCGCCAGTGTGCCTGGTCCCGTTGGAGGCGTGCGCACTGCGGGCCGATATCATTGCTCTAAGTGATCGCCCCTGGTTGCTTCAGATGGCCAAGAGGATTTCATACACGTCGATCTCTTTTCAACCTTCAACGCATGCAACGCCCGTTTGCTCGAAAGATTGTCCCAAAGGCATCATTTTTCTTGCAGACTGCAGCCTCCATCTGGTAAACTCCTCTTTAAAGTACACAGATATTTGTTGTCTCACCTAAAGCTTCTATCTTCTTTGCCTGCCAGGTTGAAATGGAGCAGTCAAGAACACTCAACGTGCAAAAGCTTCGCCTGGGATGCACTGGGAGGCGGGTCCTGTACCACCCCGAGTCAGGAGTCCTTATTGTTTTGCGACTTCTCTCCGAGCACCGGTCGGACGTGTGTTGCATTGAGCCACTCAGTGGCGCAGTGTTGTGCGTTCATCCATTTGGAGTGGGACAAATAGTCAAGTGTATGGAGCTCATGAAGTTGGGTGACGAGCAGCTTCTTCTCGTGGGAACTGCGTCCGACACTCGAAGAGCAGTCATGGCAACGGGAGAAGCTGAAAGGCAAGCATTTTAGTTTTTTTGTTTTCGTAGCTTCTGTGTGTCTAACACTGGCTATTTTCCCAGCTCTTCAAGGGGTGTTTTGGTGGTGCTTTACCTGGACGCACCACCACCGCCCAGTCCTCATAGCCCGATGTCAAGCCCCGCCAGCGAGTCTAGTGGAGGAGCATCTATCGTCTTCCAGCCTGACGACTACTGTTTCGTACCCAGGGCTAATGTTGGCTTACCCGGGCCTGTCAATGCTGTGGCTTCGTATCTAGGACAATATGTGTTAGCTTGTGCTGGGAATCACGTAAGTATTTGCTGTTCTTTCTTGTTTTTTGTTTTCTCTCTCTCTCTCTCTGAGGTGCTAAGGATCAAGCGATCAGCTGTTTTGTCTAGGAATTGCTTCCATGGACGAAAGTCCCAGGCGATGGAAGAAGCTGGCATCAATAAAAACGCGCTTTGTGATTACCAGTATTTCTGTTCGTTTTACAACAATTGCTGTTGGAGACTGTCGCGATGGTGTTTTGTTGTTTACATATAGAGAGGTATAGCAAACAGATTTCTCATTCTTGGCTCATATATCTCATGTCTGCAGGATTCCAAGAAGCTGGAACCGATCCGATGCGATCCAATGAGACGTCTGGTTTCTGACTGTACATTGGTAGATGTTGACACTGCTGTGGTCGTGGACCGCCATGGAAACTTCTGCGCCTTATCTACGAACGAAGAGACAGAAGGCAAGTGTGATTCAAGTTGTATCCATGTTTTGACTTCTCTAATCGCTCGGAATGTACAGACAGCGGCAGTCCAGAGAAGAATCTGGAAGCTCACTGCTGGTTCCATATTGGTGAAGTCTGTACGACTGTACGCAAGGTTCGAACCTCCCGCTTTCTCTGCAAGGATACTTCACGGGAATGTTCTGTTGTTTTTGGCAGGGATCATTTGCGTTCAAAGCAGTAGAAGACAGCTGCAGCGTTGATCGGTTAATACCTAACATGGGAAAGTCATGTGTTATTGCAACCACCTTGCTCGGAAGCGTCTTTATCTTCGTTCGCATAACAGGGTACCGAAGTTTTCCAAGTACTAATACAGATAACAACCATGAATTCTCTTTCGATTCAGGGAGGAGTATAGCCTTCTGCAAGCATTGCAGAGGAGACTGTCATTTTTACCCGCCACAGCTCCCGTCCTTGGAAATGATCATGCCCGTTTTCGAGGCCAGGGTCGTCCGGTAGGTGTTTTGTTGAAGATGTTATGCCGTGAACTACGACTGATGTGTGTTGTGGAAGCAGGCTGGCGTCAAGGAAGTTTTAGATGGAGACTTACTGGAACAGTTTCTGGAGCTGACAAGCGCAGAGCAAGTGGCAGTGCTGAAAGAGCCCGGACCGATGGTGCTCCGGAAGTCCGGAGGAGCTTACTCGCCGGAACTACAGGTGGAGCGAGTCCTACGGCTGCTTGAAAAGATCCACCACACGGTCACGTAGAAAAGAGGTAGGGAGTTTGTAAATACTGGTACAGGCAAACGGGCAGGCCAAGCTACGGAGCTAGAGAGTTATGGTCGATGGTTTGTGATTGGATCCCTTCCAGGCCCATGAGGTATGGCATGCAAGGAATTTGCTTCTTGCTATCAAACAAAGATGCATACTCCGAGATCATGTTTGTTTGAGCGACTAAGTTGTAAGTGGCGACGATAAGATCAAAAGTTTGCTGGGCTTCTTCGATATGCTTTCTCACTCGTTAAACTGGACGCCAAGTTCTTCATGTCTGGTGCTCGATACACGACACTAGCTAACTAAACTACAGCAACAGCAGTTAATTCCCGGCATCTATGGCTTTGATCGAACCGGAGAGCCTATGCCTCGCCGCCCTCCTCTTCAAACTCTCCCTCCTCGTCGGCGGACGCGTCTTGGTACTGCTGGTATTCGGACACGAGGTCGTTCATGTTGCTCTCGGCCTCGGTGAACTCCATCTCGTCCATCCCCTCGCCCGTGTACCAGTGCAGGAATGCCTTCCTTCGAAACATGGCCGTGAACTGCTCGCTCACCCGCTTGAACATCTCCTGGATGGCGGTGGAGTTGCCGATGAAGGTGGCCGACATCTTCAGTCCCTTGGGCGGGATGTCGCACACGCTCGACTTGACGTTGTTGGGGATCCACTCCACGAAGTAGGACGAGTTCTTGTTCTGGACGTTGAGCATCTGCTCGTCAACCTCCTTGGTGCTCATGCGGCCGCGGAACATGGCCGAGGCGGTGAGGTAGCGGCCGTGGCGGGGATCGGCGGCGCACATCATGTTCTTGGCGTCCCACATCTGCTGGGTGAGCTCCGGCACCGTCAGCGCGCGGTACTGCTGCGACCCCCGGGAGGTCAACGGCGCGAATCCCACCATGAAGAAGTGGAGGCGCGGGAAGGGGATGAGGTTGACCGCCAGCTTGCGGAGGTCGGAGTTGAGTTGACCGGGGAAGCGCAAGCAGCACGTCACGCCGCTCATGGTCGCCGATATCAGGTGGTTCAAGTCGCCGACTGCAAGAAAACAACAGTCAACGGTTACAGCGGTCAGGAAATGTCAACGGTCGACTTACATGTGGGCGTGGTCAGCTTGAGCGTACGGAAGCAGATGTCGTACAGCGCCTCGTTGTCCAGCGCCATGCACTCGTCCGCGTTCTCCACCAGCTGGTGTACGGACAGCGTGGCGTTGTACGGCTCCACCACCGTGTCCGACACCTTGGGCGACGGCATGATGGAGAATGTGAGCATCATGCGGTCGGGGTATTCCTCGCGGATCTTGGAGATGAGCAGCGTCCCCATCCCCGACCCTGTCCCGCCTCCCATGGAGTGGGAGATCTGGAAGCCTGAAACGCAAGCACAAGAGTTAAGCAAAGAATCCGCAAGTTTGATCATGGGTTTTGTGCTTTGCCTTGGAGACAATCGCATCCCTCGGCCTCCTTCCTCACAACATCCAACACCGAGTCGATCAATTCGGCGCCCTCCGTGTAGTGTCCCTTGGCCCAGTTGTTACCAGCTCCGGTTTGTCCGAAGACGAAGTTGTCCGGCCGGAAGATTTGTCCATACGGCCCCGACCTCACACTGTCCATGGTACCCGGCTCCAAATCCATGAGCACCGCTCTCGGCACATAGCGTCCGCCGCTGGCCTCGTTGAAGTAGACGTTGATCCTCTCCAGTTGGAGGTCGGAGTCGCCGTGGTAAGTTCCGGTGGGATCAATACCGTGCTCATCACACACAACCTCCCAGAACTTTGCTCCAATCTGGTTGCCGCATTGGCCGCCTTGGATGTGGAGAATCTCTCTCATACTTGCAGAGCTGTGTCTGGGAGGAGGACTTGGGGTGTTGTGGGGGACGCCTGCTGAATGGGAGAGGTTTTCAAGTGAACTTGCCGCGTGCCCTAACTACCGTTCAGCCGGCACTACGACTATGTTTGACCAAGTGTTGGCTCAAAGTCAACATACTTATGGCTTTTCATGTTCTTTCTCATGGTTACGTTGTTTTCAGACACATCAAGTGCTATAAACCACAAATAAGTCGTAGGGGTTGACAAAGTTGACAGTGACACCAGAGTTTGGCAGCTGGGAACATCGATCAACACTTTCAGTATTCGCGTGTCAGATCGTGGCTATCGTCTTTCTAGTAGAAAACGAGGGATTCATAACAGTCAGTTCTCTTTAATTATCTTGGAGCATGGCTTCCAAGTCACTCAAGGATTGTGATCGGTATAGACGTGATCTCTCTCTTTGACCTGTTTTGAGACATCCAACGGTGGGCCGCTAGCCAAGGAACAGAAGATCTAAACTATGTTTGAAACTATTGTTTGTTTGAGACAACCATTGAAGACTTTTGTTCTAGGCGTGTGCATCGTCCAGCGAGAGTCCAACGCGCTCACGAAATGTGATGTACATTTTATCGTGGGTTTAATCGTGGGTTTTAATCATCCCAGCGGCTGGTTTCACGCTCTGGTCCGGGTTCACCGATTTCTCGATCTCAAGGGCGTATAAAAGGAGCTCCCGAACTAGATCGCCCTCGAGTTATCAGTTAGATGGGTGATTATAAGGTTTGGAGAGTTTTGAGCCTGTTCTTGCTTGTTGTCATCGCTGCCCGAGGGGATCTCTCGTATGACTTCTACAAAACGAGATGTCCACAGGCAGAGAAGATTGTCATGGATGTCATGGTGAATGCCACATTGTCTGACAGGCGAATTGGTGCGTCCATCTTGCGTATGCATTTCCACGACTGCTTTGTCGAAGTAAGTTTTGATAAACCTTTGGCTCATAAAAACTTAGCATTTGTCAACTCTTTGATTGATCAGGGCTGTGATGGATCCATCCTCATTGATTCCACCTCCACAAACCAGGCCGAGAAGGATTTCCCAGCAAACTTCCCCAGCATTCGCGGCTTTGATGTGATTGACGCTGCCAAGGCAGCCGTGGAGAAAGTCTGTCCGGGGATCGTGTCTTGTGCTGACATTCTAGCCTTCGCTGCGCGAGATGGTGTTCATCTGGTATCTTATCTATCATTCCTAATCATCTTATCGCGAAACTAATCAATCTCTTCTGGTATTCAGTCGCACGGACCATTCTGGAACATCCGGTCGGGACGTCGAGACGGCCGAGTTTCCATGTTTAATCGCGTCCCTCTCTTCCTTCCACCACCCACATCCAACATCACGCAGCTCATCACCAGCTTCGCAGCCAAGAACTTAAGCAAGAGTGATCTTGTCTTCCTCTCAGGTACAGTCTCTGCAAGAATCTCTATAGATGTGCAAATCTTACGATGGGGTCATTGAATTATCTAGGTGGTCACACGATTGGATTCTCTCTTTGCTCCTCCTTCAACAGCCGGCTCTACAATTTCACCGGGAGAGGCGACCAGGACCCAGCGCTCGATGCGGCTCTCGCCCAGACTCTCAAAGGGCAGTGCCCTCGTCCTCCAACCAGGGTCGATCCAATCGTCCCAATGGAGAAGACCCCATTCAAAGTAGACACGAAATACTTCAAGGGAGTGCTCAAGAGGCGCGGCCTCTTCACCTCCGACTCCGCCCTTCTCAATGATCCATTCACGAAGTCTCTGGTGATCAAGAGCGCCGCGGACGAGTCATTCTTCCTTGGGAATTTCATCCAGTCCATGATCAAGATGAGCGAATTGGAGGTCAAGACTGGATCGAAAGGCGAGATCCGGAAGAAGTGTCACGTCATCAACTGAGACATTGTCTATGATTTGTTTGCGCCAAAGAATTTAAAATCAAATTTCCCCCTCTACCGGAGATTAGGGTTTAGGGTTTTGGGCGTCCATGGCGACGATGGCGAGAGGCGATGGGCGGAGCGCGGATCAGATCAGGCCGCTGGCGTGCACGACAGGCTTGCTCCATCGGGCGCACGGATCGGCGCGCTGGTCGCAAGGTGAGATTTCGCGTTTTCTGGAATTTCCTCCGCATGCTCGCCGCTGGCAGAGAAGAGCATTGTCCTCGCGGCAGTGTATGGGCCAAAGGCCGTGTCTGGGAAGCAGGAAAACGCCGAGAGGGCGACGGTGGAAGTGATCTGGAAAGCCAAAGCGGGTCTTTCTGGTGAGCCCTCCTTACATTTATTCTTTCTTTTATTTTTATTTTTTTCTGCTAGGGAGTTCTGAAAAAGAGGCTGAGGTGATCTTGCGAAGAACAATCGAGTACATTATCATGGCGGCACAACATCCAAATACGGGCATTTCAGTGATCGTCCAGGCAGGCAAAACCGCGTCTTTCATGCTCCCGTGCCAACTCTTTCTCTTTGTTTTTTCCTTTTCGTGTGCAGGTTGTGAGTGACGATGGGGCTGTATCCTGGGTCGATTTTATTCATATCCTGTATGGTTGGTTCATTCTTGACTCCCTTTGCGTACAGCTACTTGCTTGTGCAGTGAATGCAGCTTGTGCAGCGCTCGTGGACGCAGGCATCCCTTTGAATGGTTTGCTTGGTACGTAAAGCTCAGAGGCCTGAAAAACTTCTCACCTTTTCGTCTTTGCAGCGGCTGTAACTTGTGGTGTTACTAGCGGAGGGGAGATTCTACTGGATCCGACAAGGATGGAGGAACAGGTTTTGATTTGATTAGCCTCCCGGTTTTATTCTGAAGGAGCCTTCTCTTTTGTGTTACCAGAGAATCCAGGCCCATGTGTGCTTGGTTTTTAAGAGCCCGGTCGCATCTGTGGTGCCTGGCATGTCTCAACACTCTGGAGAAGATGCCATTGTCACATCTATCACACGCGGCTCCATGTCCGGTACTAGCGAGAATTTCATCGGTTGTTTCTTTCCTTGTCAAGCTCAGCTGTTCGCATATGTCTCTCTGCGTGTGTAGTGGATTCTTACCTTGATTGCTTGGCGCGGGCAAAGGCCGCATGCAAGATGGTTTCTGAGTTTTCAAGGAGCAGCATCGAGAAAAAGCAGGTTTAAAGCCAAGCTACTTCGTTGTTGCATTGGTACTAATGTGATCTCTTTTATCAGATCGCGATGGGCATTAATTCCAAGGCGTCTGATAGCTAAATTTCTTGTTCTTGTTGTTAAGTGTTAGATTATACGCAAACGTCAGGATGGCCGAGCGGTCTAAGGCGCCAGACTCAAGTGCTGGTCTCCGTGAGGGGGCGTGGGTTCAAATCCCACTTCTGACAGTCACGAACGACGACGCGGACAAACAACATGTGTAGTTGCGTATCTCGTCGGCGATATCAGTGATAAGTGAGTGTTTTGTAGCAGAGGAAGTTGTGGCTAACTTGTCTTTTGTCTTGCGTTTTAGGACGCAGCAAATGGCTCCCAACATCACGCTTTGATACGGTCGCGGATTTCGTAGCTGGGCCTTTGCAGCCTTTGGGATCATCCATATGCCTATTGCTGGATCGTTTGGTCGAAGATAACGAAGCATCTTGGGCAGTACTCGTATCTCATTGGATCAATACGCGCGACCTTTGACACCTCGGCTGACAGGTACGTTTTGCTCTTACATCATTCAGCTGGTGATGTCACCAGAAAATCTTTTACGAGCACTTTTTGATGCACTGTGCTCGTCCTTTTTTCTTGTTTTTTTTTTTCCCTTTGTGCAGAGCATGCATTGGGCATCATCCACAGCTTGCAACGAAAGGACGATCGCTCAAAACCTGGGTGTTTGCGTGGGACGGAAGAAAACGCTTGCGTGAATTGTGGCACTGTTGCGTAGATATGGATATTGGAAGAGAATCGTGCGGAAACTCTCCTGAGCAATGAAAGGTGAGCCTATCCTCAAATTTTGGATCGCTCTCGATCTGACGCTGCAGAGCTTTTCTATTGGCAGGTAGATCTTGGACACAAAGCCAGTTTTCCTGTTGCGGTCGCTCGCCACAGCGCTCATATCATAAGAAAATCGTAAAGTTGAAAATGGTGGTGGCATGGTCGGTTGAGTGCATTATTATGGGACCGCAAGAGCAAAAGAAGAAGAAGAAAGAAAAGAGAGGAACCTTTCTCTGGCACTATGCGGCATCCATGAAATCAAAGGGTTATTGAAAAGCTCGCTATGCATGATTGATACTGATGCTACCAAGCTTTTTCTATGATAGATGGATAGCTTATAGCATGCAAAAAACAGAGGAGAGAACCAAAAGAAGAACAAAAACACACGCACACACACAGGGGGCATGTCTAGCGCGCGCGAGGTGCGTGTGTTTCATGGCATATTTCTTGCGGATGCGTTACAAGGCAGCAGCATCACGGCTTTGCGGGCTTCTTCGATTTCGAGAGTTTGACACCCAAGTCAATGCTGTGGCGTTAAAGATTGTGTGTGTCGATCCCTCAATCCTGGCTGCGCTCGATATCTCCTTGTTAGAAGAAGAGATTTTGCCGCAAAGTGGGAATTTTTAGCTGTAGCAAACACGGTTGACGCAAAACGTAGGAACTTCCTCCCTCGCGCCAATTCCATAATTTCTGGAAGAAGAAAGCAAACACGCTCTGTACGGGTCGCAGTCAACGTAACCGAGCCCACCTTCCGTGTGACTAACCGAAAACGTCAGCCCTGTCAAAATCAAGATGCCGCCCGTCACCCACGCAATGCGTTTGACGGACCCCTCCCCGTCACTGGCGTGGTGGAAAAGAAGGGCCCCACGTTAAGAGGTGGCCAATACTCGCATTTGGTTTTGGGCCACGAGGAGTACGACAAAAATAATTTACACAGCCAAAAGAAGAAAAGAAGGAAAAAAAAAAAAAAGAATTAGTAAGTTTTTAACACACTGACTCATAGAGGAGCTATGGCGGCCACAGGAAAGAGTCTTTCTTTCTTTCTTGGCGAGCGAGAGAGGAAAAAATAAAAGAGAGAGGGTTTTGTGTGTGCGAGCTTCATCCTCTCTCCTGCATGATTGAGGGCCCCCGACAGATCACACAATTCCTTCTTGATTGATTGATTGATCTTTCGCAAGGTGTCTCTGTTCCTCTCCTCTCTAAGAGAGACCGCTGCCCCCCTCCTGAGAATTTCTCCTCCATTCTCTCCTCATCTCTTTCGGTTTTGTGCACGAGAGCGAGAGAGCGAGCAAAGTTGCAATTCCTGGAAAGCGAGAGAGAGAGAGAGAGAGAGAGGAGCATGAGTTAGTCGCCAAAAAGAGAAGATGGTGTGAGTGAAAGATCTCCTTCCCCTCTTACCATACGTTCCCTCACGCATAGAATCGTAGCTTTGACTGGCTAAATCGGTTCATGTTGCGGTGGCGCTCGCTTAACCCCTCTGGATGCACCCGGTTGTCTCCGAAAGCGTCCACTCCCACCCCCTGCTCCTGCTGCTGCATGATTGACGACGACCAGCCTTGCTCCTCTTGCTCAAGCACCTCGCTTTCACACCGCCTCCTCGTCTCTCCAAGTCTGCTCCTCCTCCCCCCGCTTCCCAGCAGATATAAGTCCTTGACTGCTGCTTGCTCTTTTCTCGCTTGCTCCACCACAGAGTCCTCTGCTGCTGGAGATGACTTTGTTGACGGATCTCTAGCTGGTACAGTTACTGTTACTACCCCTCTTCTTCTTCCAATCGTTGCTCTTGCTGCTGCTGGTGTTGGAGGGTGGACGCAGCATCATCAGGTGTGGCCTTTCTTCTCGTGCCGGCCCACCCAGCAATCAAGGTTTGCACTTTCCCCCTTCCCGCACCTCCACGGCACCACCTTTACTTTGTGGTTTGATCCTGGATCTTCTCGTTTGCAGCTTGTAATTATTGCTCCTGCCCCCAAGTCAGCCAGCCTACGTGCGTCCGTCACACCAATGAGCTCCCGAGCGAGAATCATGGATGGCGGCCAGGAGCAGCACGAGCCTTCGTTCCCACTCTGGCATAGCCTCCCCGAGGACATCATGGACAAGGTGTTCGCCTTCATGCCAATTGAGAGCCTGGTGGCGGCCGGCCTCGTCTGCAAGTCCTGGAACTCCCGGATCAAGTCGAGCAACTTCCAGAGAGTCTACCGCAGCACACCCGCGAGGGAGGCCCCCTGGCTCCTTGCCTGCTCCTATAACTGCCGGGACAAGTCGTGTGCCTTCAGCCCCACGCTCAACAAGTGGCTCAATGTCTCGCTCGCATTCCTGCCACCTTATATGAGGTTCCCGCTGGCTGCCATCGGAGGCCTCATCTTCATGCGAGCCGGTCTCAGCAACTTGGGGATGCTGGCGGTGTGCAACCCGATCATGCAGACCTGGAAGGAGCTGCCTCAGATGACTTACAAGCGATTCAACTCACTCGTCGGGGTGTTTCAAGTCGACGACAGCAGCGGGTATAGGATCATCGTCGCAGGCGGGACGTCCGAATGCGGGGGTGACTACGAGTGCTCCACGGAGATCTACGATTCCAGAACGGACTCCTGGACCGTCCTTGGAGCCATTCCCCGCTACTACACCGTCAAGATTACTGTGTGGACCTCCAAAACCGTCTTCTGCCAGGGCACACTCTACTGTCTGACGTCTGCCCGCCCTTACAACCTCATGTCGTATAACCTGGGTACCAGACTATGGTCCGAGATGAAGGTGCCGCGGCCCGCGTGCCTGTACTCGTCTTTCCTGCTCAAGCGGAAGGAAAAGCTGCTGTTAGTCGGCGGAGTGGGAACTGACCGAGTTTGCGAGAGGATTCACCTGTGGGAGCTTCAAGTTGAAAGCCAGCAGTGGCTTGACAAGGACCAGATGCCGCAGCATTACTTCCAGATGTTTTACGAGAGCAAGGGAGACTTCGATCTTAAGTGCGCTGGGTCCGGCGATTTAATATACTTCTTCAAGAGCTCGCACTCGGGGATGTTGGTCTGCGACCTTTCCACCACCCCGGCTTCATGGCAATGGCTGCCTTCGTGTCCTTTCAGCAATCACGACATCAAGTTCGCCTTGAGAGGTTTGTTTCTCAATCCTCGCCTCGACTACACCTTCTGAGATTGCAGAATACACACGAGTCGGGCATAAGAAAAATGAAAAAAAAAAAAAAACTTAAAGAAGTAGAAAAGCGAAGAAAAATACTTGCAGATGTACAAAGGCCGTTGTCCCCTCCTCCTCCATTTTTTCTTTTTCCTTCATTTTTTAGCACCGTAGGAGCAACGTGTTCTTTTAGCTGGACTCTGATTACAGGAAATGGTCAACAAAAACACCAACAAAAGTACGACAGAGACAATACCTGCGTTCTCTCTCGACGCAACGACACCTGCATAAAAGCCAAGGACCAGCGCTGTTAAAAGGACAAAGCAAACCAAAACAATAAGACGCTTACTTGTCAATCTTTCCGGCTTCCGTCCGGCATACATGAACGAGGACGCTACTGTGGATGGCGAGCGCGACAATATTCCCTCACCCAAGCGTCGTACGAAAGCTCTGAGAGAAATGATCACGGGCGATTGATGCTTTAGGTAGAGAGGTGTCCCAGTATCATGCAATCATCATCGCATCAAGCAACAGTTTTTCCTCTTCTTTGAAAGAATTTCTCTCTGATACCAGTGGAAATTTAGAATCCAAGTCACGAGCTAGCACCAGCCTTGCCAGTCTGCAAGGAACAAAAGAGAATTAAACAAAGGATCCAGAGCCAAGCGATCCAGAGATTCACAGGTAAAAAACAAAAGAAAGACTATAGATAGCAAGGCATGAGTGAATGCAGCGCAAAGAGATCGCAAATTCACTCTCATACCTGATCGAGCTTGTCCAAGAACCCTGGGAAATCCGCCCAATCTCTTCCTGCATTCCACACCGCGAGCGAGCTGAGATTCCTACATTTCTAGCAGCCATGGCGATCGAGGCGCGCGATCGCAGCAATGGCGCCCAGGGAAGAAGAAGAGGGAACGCCCAACAATGCCCTAAAACCCTAAGAGAATGATTCCATGGCGGAGAATATGCCCTTTCTTGCTTGCGAGAGTGGAGCATCACCGACCCGTTACGAGCGGAGGAGGAAGAAGAGGAAATCCACATCTTCCAATCCCACGCCCTTGTCGCCAAGCCTCTGAGATGCGCCGATTCGCCGCCTCGATCCATCGCGCGGGCGATCCGGTGTGCGGCATGTGAATGAAGGGCGGATTCCAGCGATTGTGGCAGTGGATGCGACGAGAATCCGGGCGAAGGACTCCGTCTTCCTCGTCCGGTATGCAAATCCTTTGCCTTGGCTTCCAAGCTTTCTTCCAGATGCGTTAAAGGAGCTCGCGTTCTTTCCTTGCAGCTCTTGGGCGGTTTGATTTCTAGCTCGATTGATTGCAGCATGGATCAAAGAACGCAGCCGGATGAAAGTAGCGAGTATGTGATATTTCGATCCAGGGAGTGTGGCCTGGGTGAGCTCGTGGCGTCTTTTGTGACGTGGAGTGGGCATGCACCAGGGATGGAGTGCTCGCCATCGCTCCAGGGGATGGTGGACCAGAGCTGGCAAGCGAGGTTCGCCATGCTCATCCTCAAGCTCCTCCATCTCGTCTCCAAAGTGCTCGCGGCCATTGGCGAATTCCTCGAGATCTTCCTCAACACTGTCTATGCCAATGGCGGACTTTCCAACCTCGTCCAAAAGCTTCTCACTGGAAGAGGTACGTAGAAGAACTTGTTCTTTCTTTCTTCTTCTTTGTCTCATTTTTCTTTTTTTTTCTTTGTAGGAATCATCATCCCCGACGAGGATTCCGACTCCTACTGGAGTGTGATTGGGTTTTTAGATCCACGCACGGACTTGCTGGTCCATCAACTTGAAGATCAAGTAGCCAGCCACTTTGTGTCAGATCCTCCGGGGTCGAAACTCATGGCAGATGTTTGCATGATGGCGTCCAAGCTTGCATACGAAAACTCCAAAATCATCCGGAAGATCATCACGAACGAGTGGAAAGTAAGTATCAGCATCGACGTTTTGTTGCTTGACTTTTGTGCTGTGAATGTAGATGCATGTCGTGGATATATACGAGTGCATCAACAGTAAGTATCGCAAGAACTTCTCTTCTTCCTGATGCTGAGTTATAGTTCTATGTTTTTTTTTTGTCACAGAGAACGAACCTACGAATCCAACTCAAGTTCTCATTTTCATGGACCGAGCAGTCGATGCACAAGCTGTCTTCGTTGTCTTCCGCGGAACAATGCCGTTCAACGCCTCCGACTGGAGCACAGACTTTGATTTCTCGTGGTACCTTCTCCCCGGCATTGGCCGTGTTCACGTCGGCTTTCTGGAAGCTCTCAGCCTGGTGGATCGCCACGACATGGATTCATTCACTCGCATGAAGGACAACGTCGCCAAAACCAGAGCCTCCGGCAACGCCACCAGCAGCAGCAAGCACACTCCAGCTTCGGGGCTCATCGAAGCTGTTACACTGGGGGATCAGGATCAGGATCACGGTCAAGACAAGGGGAAGCCTCTCTTCGCCTACGACACCGCCTGCGACGAGCTCAAGGTCCTCCTCAGAGCTCACAGGAATGCCAAAGTCTACGTAACTGGACATAGCTTGGGAGGTGCTCTGGCGACCGTCTTTACCACCATACTCTTCCACAACAAGGAAAACACCATCACAGGCAAGCTGGGTGCTCTCTACACGTTTGGACAGCCTCGAGTAGGGGACAAGGAATTCGCAGCTACCATGACAAGCAAGCTCAACGGAGCAGACAATCGCTTCTTCCGCGTTGTCTACAGCGCTGATCTTATCCCACGCGTTCCTTTCGACGACTTTCTCTTCCAGTTCAAGCACATCGAGCCGTGCTTCTTCTACACCAGCTTCTACACCAAAATGGTACGTCTACATATCTTCTGTTCTTCCTTTTCTCTTGAGACGAACTTTGGTGATACTGTAGATTGTGAAGGAGGAGCCCAACAAAAACTACTTCAATCCATTCTACTACATCTTCAACCATGCCGTGGCAGTGTGGGAGCTTCTCCAGAGCTTTGTTCTCCACTTCCGGTATGGTGACAACTATCGGGAGTCCAGCTCGTCGACGGTGCTGCGGCTCGTTGGTCTGTTCTTCCCCGGCGTTTCTGCTCACAGTCCAGTGAACTACGTCAATTCCGTGAGGCTCGGACCAGCAATGCTCGACACGAAATAGCTTGGCAGGAATGCCAAAAGGTGGTGATAGTCTATTGTTTTCCTTTCTTTTCTGAATCCCGGGTGGTGTTTCGGCAGGTGTTCGAATAAAATGGAAATGGATCCACAGCGAAGGTTTGTTGGTTTCCTGCTCTTGGGAAGTCTGCTCATAGGTGGCCTGTGTCACTTTCAGGCAAGGCGTAAGCAAAGCATTTGTTTGAGACATCGACAGTGGAAAATCCAATGAGATGAAGACAAGCCCAACGCTTTTCCAGATTTTTAAGAACCAACGCAGGCAAGCATCATCGTCCAGCTTCTTTCTCGTGTTCCTTCGTTCGTGCTCGTCTCTTACATCGTGAAGTGAATCGCGCATTCATCGATTAGGAGGTTACCACCACCACAATCAAAGCACAGTAGAGTGTGTCCCTGTGCTAGCTAGCTGTTCTTGGTTATCACAAAAGAAGCTCTTCATTAATGCCGCAGCTTATGGCGCCTGCTCGCCAGCAGACATGAAAGCAAAGCAAATTTCTTTCTCTTTTTCTGGAGGGGAGAGGGAAAAAAATTTCGGAATTTTAATAACCAGCTAGATCTAGGATCATGTTCTTCGTTAAGATCTCTCAAGCGTTAAAGCCTTTAAAGGAGAAAAGAAAAAGATCACAGGCATAAAGGCAACAATTTCTCTTATTCTGTCATTGATCACATCACCATCCAAAGCAGCAAAGCAAAGCAAAGGTCGCTCTTTTACTTTGCTCTCTTTCACGACCAAAGTTGGTCACTATCACACTCTCCAAATCTCTCTTAACGAGCAAACGACGATCATTTTCTTCGTGGGGGCATTTGTGATCTTTGCGTGTGGGGAGTGTCCAAATCCCCCCAGGCAGCAAGAGAGTAGCAACTCCTCTGTCCGGTCAGGCTGGAAAGCGCGCGTCCAGAAATTGGATTGCTTTCTTTCTTCTGAGCGCCGAGACCCCTCTCTCTCTCTCTCTTTTCTTCCCTCTTTTCTCTCTTGCAGCTTTTTGTTTCGTGGGCATTCGCTGGAGCGCGCAGGACACATTCTTGCCGGGCTGGGCCGATCGAGCAAGCAATTGGGTCACTGGATTTGTCGTGCTGCTCTACTGGGTGGGATTTGCGAGCCAGAGAGTAAAAAGGATTGGTTTCTCATGCCTAGGGGGAGATGATCATATCTGATCAACCAAAGTCAAGGATAAGTGGACAGCGACTGGCCAGGATGAGAGAAGAGCCGAGAGGAGAAAAGAGAGACCTTTCTCCATCTTTCTTTCCCCTTTGTGTGGTAGTGGCTTAGCTCCTCTAGCTAGCGCTGGATAATTCCAATCCAGATAGATGGTTGGAATTGGATCTGAGGAGCTCTTGATCTTGTCGCTCGCCAAGAGATGAGGAGCGCTACTGGTGAATGGAGATCCGCGAGGTTCCAGAGGTGTCACCTCCAAACGGCGGTGCCAAGTCTTATAGCCATCGCTCGCATTCTTCGTCCTCTCGAGGTAAGAGGAAAAACACTTTTTTTTTCCTCGTGGTAGCTCGAAGGTCTTAAACCGAGCGCTCTTTCGTTGGATAGGTTCTATCAAAGGCGCTGTTGGAGCGAGAAAGGTACGTTTTTGCAAACAAAGCGTCCGGTGGCTAGTCTCTGGAGATTGATGCTCGCTGCTCCTCTTTTCCAGATCAAAAACTCGGGTAGCGAGGAACAAAAGGCTCCGGAGCAGCAGCCCCGCATCTCTCCGGAGCGACCACCTCGCCCATTTCTCAAGACCAGCTTCGGCCAGAGGCTAAGTGCTCAATGCGGCTCAGTTTTCTTCGATACTACAAGTTGTAAGAGAGAAACTTTCCCTTCGTTGAGCTCTTTCTTTCTTTGATACGATCAAACGATAACCATTCTCTTTTTTGTTCCATAGATTCCCATCAAGCTCCACTGGCTAGTACGACCAGGAATCACAACGATCATGGGGGCCAACCTTTAGTGGAAGGATCATCGCTAGGAACAGGAGGAGATAGGACCAAGTTGCGATCAACTGGAAACAGTCACAGTGCCAGCGGTCGCGGGAGCTCGGGGCTCTCGGAAGCGGACGTCAGAGGCATGGCTCTGGTTGCAACTGCTACTCCCGAGGTTCCAGCGTTTCGTCCCGGATCAAACTCACAACAACAACAACAAGCGCTGAAGTTATGGGGTGGTGCGATTCCAAAGCAGCGAGCCATAGCCATGGTTGGACAGCTCGCTACTTCGTCGAGGGTTAGCACTGATACTTTCAGCTTCGGTGGTGGTGTACGTGATCGCTCTTCCAAGAGAGGTGAGTTCAAACGTCTTGTAGCAGCGATCTTTGCTAAGCTTCGTATTGTTCTTCTCGCTTAGATGGTTCTCCTCTGGGACGAACAGCATCGACTAGTCCAGCGCCTCCAGTGCAGCCTCCAGTGCAGGAGCAGGAAAATGAAAAGGAGACAAAGGTGGTGAACAAAGACGCGGGTTTGCAGCTGGTTCCACCAAAGCTGGAATTTTGCGACGAGGAAAAGAACAAGCCCCAAGCTGTAAGATCGTCCTCCGAGCTAGAGCTGGAAGAGGCTCGTAAGGAGATGATGCTGATGGCCAGTGGCTCAGGAGCTGCATTGAGCGGACGACACTCGCAGACGAGCTTGAACTTGGCGCACGTAAAGACCGAAGTCGACGATCAAACGATGATCCTCTCGGGAGCTAAGCCAGGCAGGGAGAGCAGTAGCTTGCCAAGGTGTAGCACAGATATCCTCCAGCCAGCTCCACTCTCCACTGCCGCAGACTCGGAAGCTCCAAATCTCAGCGAGCTTGGAGCTGCTCAAGCAGCCAAGGCTCGGCCATCTTTCAAAAACGACTGTGGCTTCCTCAAGCTTCTTCCTTCCAAGCGGAAGTTCGAAGTGGAGCACGACCAGGCATCTCCACTCCAGAAAACAGCGAGCTATGTGCTGGCCGATAGCGAGAACGCCGGATTGAGGTTGAGTTCCAACAGCAGCTCTGGCATCCCGCCGATCCGGAAGAGTCTTCTCGTCCATCTCGCTGATAAGCCAAAGCAAGTGGCAAACGAGGTGACCAGGAATCTTTCGAACTCCAAGGAGAGATGCTCGGACCAGTTTGCCGCTGCTGCTAGTGCACAAAAACCAGTCGTCGGCTCCTTCATGAAGTGGATGATCGACGTCGGCAAAGGCCTGGCGAAGAAGAGATGCTTTGGCTCCGAGGCAACAGCCGCTCCATCCACCGAGCTCGGATCTCCAGTGGGAGGACTTTGCTCCAGTGTAGACTTGCGGCTGGAATCGTCCTCCAAGGCCAAGGACCACGATCTCGTGCTCTCGCCACCTTTGATGAAGCGTTTCCCCGACGAGCATGCGGTGTCTCCCCAGAGCATGGATTGCACAGACGATGGTGCGCATCACAAGGAAGCATCGGAGATGCAAACTTCTGGTGACGAGCAGCAGCAGCGAGTGCAGCAGCGGCAGCGGCAGGAGCAGCAAGATGGAGGAGAGCACGAAAAGAGCGAGAGGCGACGAGATTTCTCCTCGCGGGAGGAGCCTCAAGCATCGGGTGATGGTAACGAAGGCGGTGGTAACAGTACCAATGCGACGGAAGGCACCACGCGCTCTAGTGGCCCTCCCGAGCAGCTAAAAGACGGCAAAAGAACCAAAGAGCATGCGTCCAAATCTCTGGCACAGCAACAGCATCAACTTCTCAAACAAGATCAAGATCAAGACCAAGCTCAAGCTCCAGCTCAAGCTCAAGCTCAAGATCTCCTGGAAGATCGCGCTCATGCTTCCCAGGAGGAGCAGCATCTCAAGCAAGAGCAGCAAGACGCTTCCAAGTCCAAGTCTGGTGGTGGCGAGGAGGCATCCTTTGGTATGTGGCAAGCCGCTTCGTGTCTCATACCATCTCAGGGGCAGCAAGAGAAGAGTTCCAAGCTCCAAAGATCATCCACAGGTAACCGTAGCAAGGCTCGCAACTTAGCAGCAGCTTTGGATGGATCGGGTGATCCCGAGTGCTCGCAAGGCATGGCCGAGTTCGTAGCGAGCATGGCGACGGTCAAGAACTGGGTGAACGCGAGCTTCAAGCCCAAGGACAAGGCGGCCATCTCGAGCGCGTCGAGGTCATGCAGCTTTTGCGGACTCAAGGGCCATTCGGTCATGGATTGCTCCGAGACGCTCGAGTGCGAACTTAAAGAGCTGGAGAGGCGAGCGCTCGTTCTCGAGGACATGAGTAGCGAGGTCCTCGACTTCCCTTGCTTGAGGTGCTTGGGGATGGGACACTTGGGAGCTCAGTGTCGATTCTCGGTCACCGAGGCGGCGTCTCGAGCTCGAGAGAACAGTGAGATGAGGAACTGGAGATTCATGAGGAGGAACTCTAGCAACGTCGTCAACACCACCATCGTCGTCAAGCCGTCCGTGACCAGCGTAACAGTACCTGCGAATCCAAGTCTTGTGCTCGTGGATCACGCAAAAGCTAGTCCCGCTGCCAGCATTCCTCCGGTTGTATGGACTCAAAGCACCAACCTCGTTCCACAATCGGGTAACTTGTCTATAGCTCCGCTTCACGAGCCCGATCACAAGGTTGCGAGAGCCAAAGATCAAAGAAAGAACGAGGAGAGTCCCAAGGACAACACTCACAAGAAAGTTGGCCTCCAAAGGACTGGAACTCCGGCTAAGAAAGCGGCAGCTCCGCAAACCAGTGAAACACTTCCCAGCGTTCCCAAAGACATGCTTGCTGCTATCGAGTCCGTGAGGCTGTCAAGGTCCGAGCTATGGAGGTAGTGGTGTCTCTCAAACACGTCTTTGTCTTGCTTTCTAACATAGATCTCTCGGGTGTAGATGGATGGATTCTCCAGACTTCAACACAAATGTGCGAGGCTTCTTCTTGCGGCTAAGGTTTGGAAGATGGGAGAAAGATCTTGGTGGAACCGGCTACAGGATGGCACGAATACGAGGTACTAAAGCTCTCGCAACGTTTCACCGAAGTTTGTAAAGGTCTCCCCAAATAAACAGGAGCCATCCGGAAGCTAGGTGGTGACGACAAGAACATGTCCGTCTCCGTGGATCTTGGAGACATGGAGTGCACAGTGGACAGTCAGTACGTCTCGAATCACTCCTTCACAGAGGTAAGAGAAAGTTCCATGGATGGATCCATCGATAAGCTTGGTCTCTAGGCGGAGCTTGTGGAATGGTGGAGGGGACGATGGAAGGCTGGCAAGCGACTCATCCCCGAGGCCGAGCTACAGGCGAAGCTCGCGCAGCGTCACAACTGGTAGGATTTTGTATAGCGCTTATATAAATCTTCCAAAGGATCGAGTTTAGTCTAGATTTTGGAACAACTTACGCTGGTTTTGGTTCTCTTCATCGAGCCTCTTCTATGTTCCAGGGAAGCAAGGATCTTTCAAGCTTGTGGATTGTGCTTTGTAGCGGCTTCGAAGGGTGGCTTGGCCTGGTCGCCCCAAATCGCCGGGACTGTAAGACACCACTGCACGTCCCCGTACTTCTCCTGCAGATGGTGGATGATAAATTGGGAAATAGATCTCAGGTAATCCACGACCAGCCTCTCCTCCTCCTCGCTTCCTTCTTCGGCGCAGCAGCTTGGAACCCGTCTCAAACACACCAACCTTTTGCTCGATCTCCTCCTGTGCAGGGGGAGTGAGGTCTTCTTTGAGCCACAGCATGCAAGTCTATGCCGAGAGGGCCAATCGTGGTGCCAAGAACGATACAGTGTCGGAGAGGGAGGCCGTCACACGCACCTTCGTTCCTCTAAACAAGAGCGATACCATCATGGGCATTAGCTTGCTCGGCTCCAGCAAGTCGCGGGTAAGTTTTGCAGCGTCCCCGATGCGAGCATCTATCCCCTGAGGATCATCCTGGAGCCGGAGGCAGCTTCTTTCTCGTGCCAGAGGCAGCTCCGAGGTGTTCTCTCCTTCGCCCAGGGTTAAAGTTCCTAGTGGCGGATGTCGGTGGAATCATTGATATCATCGTGCATGAGAAGGAGAGCGCGCAGGATTGGATCATTCACAAGGTCCATGAAGCTTGTGCTAGCTCCGGTGCACTTGGAGGTGGGACTTACGTCGACTCCAACTTTCTGGAGTTTCTCAGGAAGAAGATCGGCTGCTTCGACACTTTCAAGCAGCAGGAGCCGGATGTGGTGCACAGGATCTTGAGCTGGTGGCTCGGACCCAAGGGCAAGTGCACGTTCGACGGAAGCGGCTCCAAGTTTTTGGAAATCCCTGCAAAGTTGTCCAAGGCATGGAAGAAGCACGACAAGGCGGAGCTGGGATTCCCAGAGAGCGGTGACTACTACGACGAGATCGAGATCAGCTGCGAGCAGATGAAGGCGATCTTTGACACCGAAGTCGACAAGACCATCAAGCTGATCGACGAGAAACTTCGCAAAGTTGACAACGTCAAGTACATCCTTCTGGTGGGAGGCTTCTCCGAGAGTCGCTACCTGTTCAACAGGATCAAGAAGCGGTTCGAAGACTCGGTCGAGGACGTGCTCTCGCCCCTGAATCCCGGTTCCGCAGTGTGCCGGGGCGCAGTGGCTCTTGGAGTTGGAACAGGCGTGGTTCTCTCCAGGATCTCCAAAAACTCTTTATGGCATTGCGACGAGTCGCTATGCACGGTGGGACGATCCACCAGCATCCAAGTTTATCGACAACTATGGAATCGAGAGATGCAGCGTCTTTAGCCTCTACGTCAAGAAGGACGAGTCAGTCTCGGAGAACCAGGAGATCACGCACTCGTTCTTTCCCATATACACTGACCAGAAAGCCTTGAGGATCGACTTACTCATCTCGAGCAGCAGCACGATCGACAAAGGCTGTGCCATGCTCGACAGCTACAGCATGGACATAAATGAGGATCTAGAGCTGGGGACGAGTCGCCAGGTGGCCGTGACAATGTACTTTGGACGGAGCAACATCGAGGTGTCTGCACAGCGCGTCAACTTTGGGAGGAACCGTGGGCTTGAGAGGCTCTACTCGGTGGAATTTGATGCGGCTCAAACTTATGTCAACAAGTAGAGTCTAGCGAGTGACAAGTTCTTCTCCGTGTTTTTTGTCTTAGTAGTTCTTCATGCTTTTCTATCTGTGTGCTAGTAAAAGTCTCATTTAAAAGATCTGACTAAACTTAAGGCCATATCCCGAGAATATCGTGAGCGTGCCTCGAGCATAGGGTTTTGTTTAGGCTAGCTAGTTATGGCTTCTGCAATCTCCTTTACCGTGCATAGCTCCGATCCACAGGACGTCCATCTTTTCACCGACTAGCCTGGAGCTCATACTACGGTGATGTGGCATACTCGAGTGTGGCGACGTGGGGAGCAAGCGAGCTATCTGGTCAGTAGCGAGTGAGTACAGTGTGCCCCACATTGTGGGCAAGAGTGGATTTGCAACGTAAGACAGTTACAAGTCCAACTAGAACCTGAACTCATACTCCAAGAGCTGTGTAGGAAATACTAGGAACAAAAGTTTCTATTCCTTCAACAATTCAGCCAAGACTTCAACTAATAGCAAAACCCCTTGCCCACAATGTAGTCACACTTCAAATAGCCTCATTTGCTCTGCACATCACCACACTTGAATACACCACATCACCACATCAACTCTATACTGTGTTCCATCTCTGGCTCACACTAAGCTCCACTATTTTCCTCTCGCTTCCCCTTCTTTCGAATATTCTCTGGAATCTCAACACTTCATTAGAACAACAAAAAAATGCAAAGTTTTATCACCGACAACAAGAACTCCAAGAAGGCTGAGCTTGTGAGAGGTAACTTTTGTGAACTGTTTACCCTCCGAGGATCATCTTGGAGACGGAGGTGACGTCATTCTACTGTGGTAGTGTCTCCCTTTCTTGAGGGGACAAGTTCTTGGTGGCGGACATTGGTGGTGGAACTATTGATATTGTTGTGCACAAGAAGGAGAATTGCGTCACCCACAGGGTCCATGAAGCTCGTGCTAGCTCCGGAGCACCTGGAGGTGGTACTTACGTCGACTCTAACTTTCTGGAGTTTCTCACCAAGAAGATTGGATGCTTCAACACTTTCAAGCAGCAGGAACCGGATGTGGTCCACAGGATCCTGAGCTGGTGGCTCGGACCCAAGGGCAAGTGCACGTTTGTCCAAATTCATGAAAGTTCCACCAAAGCTGCCGAAGGCATGGAAAGAGCATGACAGGGAGTTTGATACAGGAAACTGGGATTTGCTCCAGAGAGATGATGAGTGCTACCATGAGATTGAGATCGACTGCGAGGAGATGTGCGCAATCTTTGATACAGAAATCAACAAAACCATCCAGCTAATCGAGGAGAATTTTGACAAAGTTGACGGTATCAAGTACATATATCTGGTTGGAGGCTTCTCCGAGAGTCCGTACGTGGTGAAAAGGATCAAGGTGCGATTCAAAGAAGCAGTGGAAGCTGTGCATTGTCCTTTTAATCCCACCGCTGCGATCTGCCGAGGTGCCGTGGCTCTCGGCACTGGAACAGGCGTTGTGCTCTCGAGAATCTCCAGAAAGTCTTACGGTATCTCCACAAGCCATATCTTTCGCTGGTGTCGATCCACCAGAGTACAAGTTCTTGGACTTCTTTGAGATCGAGAGGTATCAAAATGTTTTCTTCAAGGTGTTTGTCAAGAAGGACGAGCCAGTGACGGAGGATCAGTTGGTAACGCACTCGTTCTTCCCGGTATATAGGCGATAGAGATTACTTGTTCAGCTACACCACCTAAACAGGTTGTGAGAAGCTCGATCACTATAGCTTCGACATTGACGAGGATCTACACCTCGACACTGACCCCGAGGTGGCCGTGACAATTTTCTCTTGGAGGAGCAGCATTGAAGTGTCTGCCCGGCGCATCAACTTTGGGAGTAACTGCGAGTCGAGAGGTTCTACTCGGTGGAATTGGACGCTTCTCGAAAGTATGTCAACAAGTAAACAAGGTTTATACAGCTCTCTTTCAGTACTACATTCCGAATACACATCTGATTTAACATTAAAACAGACCATTGTACACCTTTGGTCACGTAAAAGAATTAGCTGGCCTGTCAAGGTTCGCCGGCGTGATTCATCAGTCAGATCGTTAGTCATGTTCATCTATTCACGTCGCGTGCTTGGTCGAAATCAAAAGATTCGCAATGTTTTCTAAGATAGATTGGTATTGAAAGTCCATGATCTACAAAATGACTGCTGAACCAAAATGCACATGGACAGCTGGACGGAACGTCAATAATAACCCTATCAAACATGAATATGTAAGAAGTTCCAGATTCCTCCTCCCACAGCATCATGTCTAGCGTGCAGGATCTTGAGTTGCAGCAGCAGCCAAGTGATAATCTTAGCGACCAAAGTGACTCTAATGCTCCCCATGAATCTTCTTCTTCTTCTTCTTCTCCGTCCAGTTCTCCTTCATCATCCACATCTGTGTTAGCTGCTCCTCAAGCATCTCCATGGGGAAAGCTAATCTGGCACACAATCATTTGTCTCCTTGTCTCAGCACACATAGCTACATTTGTGAATTACCTCGGTTACAGGTTCTATGTCTACTCCAAGCATCCTGGCGAGTTTGTGAGAAGGCCGTGGCTGATAATTCTGACGATCTGCGAGGTGATATACTTTCTGAATAGCGTTATTGGAGCTGTGGATCTGGTGTTACCACCTCGAATATGGAGGCCCCGTCAGAGTTTGTCGTTGAATTGGGAAGAGCTTCCGACGGTTGACATATTTCTTACCTGCTGCAAAGAGCCCACTGACGTTCCAGAGGATTCGATTCAGGCTGCCCTGGCTATGGATTATCCCAAGGACCAGTTTCGAGTTTTGGTCCTGGATGATGGAGGGGACGATCAGCTGAAACAATACTGTGAGGTATTGGAGCATGTCGAGCCTCCGAGTGCTTCGGTCCGATATCTTCGTCGAGTAAAGGTCAGCTTTTAACTTTTCTAACAGTTCTTTTTACATGACCATTTGTTACAGATTCCAGGAGTTCCACACAACTTCAAATGCGGTAACCTTAACTACGGCCTGGAGCATTCGGACGCGGAGTTCGTGGTGATGATGGACGCAGACATGATACTTCACCCATCGTTCCTGAAGACTTTACTTCCTCATATCGTGAAAGACCCCAAAGTGTCATTCGTACAGATACCTCAGTCGTTTTACAACCTTCCGGTGGGAGATCCTCTAAACGATGCTTGCGTATTTGGCTACGAGCGTGTCATGATTCACAGGGACACATTTGGGGCCGCACCGTGCGTTGGAACTGGAGCAATCTTCCGAAGGAAACATCTGGACGAGATTGGAGGCTTCCAGCCAATGTCAATCACAGAAGACACCTTGACCGCATTCAAGCTCTTCAACCAGGGCTTCAAGTCCGTCTACCTCAACCGCAAGCTTCAGGTCTGCTGTTCCTCAAAACACGGCGACTTTTGTTGACTTCACCTTTGATTGTTAGATTGGTCTTACACCGTGGACGCTTGAAGGATATATCAAGCAGCGGCGGCGGTGGTGCCAGGGAGCTATACAGCAATTCTCTGCGACATGGAGAGAGATGCTTGGGCCAAAGAGCAGGCTTTCATTCCTACTCAAGGTGTGGTACTTCTGGCACACTGGATACTACTTCATCCCAATTTTCAACACTGTAATGGTCTTGCTCTTCATAGTTCTCCTTGCCTTAAACTTGAACCTCATTGTTGGCACCTTTCATGATAGCCGACGCATTCTTATAAATCTCTCAACTCTTCTTATCTGCTGGCGCCTGTCTTGGTTCGCAGTATGGCTCAGTCTTCCCCAGCCAATCCAAAGTCGCAACCGGGACGAGTCACATTTCTGGTGGATGACCCCCTACTTTTTCAAAACGATATACAAGTCGATCTTTTCATACTCTTCCACCTTTATATTCACTCCAACAAGCAACATTGACCGTGCTGCGGCACAAGCCAAGCTCAAGAAGCAACCAGCAGTGATCAAGTTCCTTGTCAAGCTCAAGCACGTAAGGGTGCACATTACCTACATATTCCTGGTTTTGGGTGTGGTTGGCTACAGGATTTATTGGATAGCCAAGCAAGGTGGCAAAAACTGCCAGAATAATTTCTACGTGATCACCATATCGTTTTTTCTACTTTCCACCTGTGCACACATGCTCATACCAATTATGTACATCTTGTGCCCTCCTAGCTACAAACCTGGGGAACGCAAGTCACTGCTTCACTACAAGGAAGGAGTTCCACAATTTTTGGAGGGAGACTATCTCCCAAAGTGGCACTGGTCAATAATCTTTTACGAGGGGATATCTAACGTTGCTACGAGTATCTTCTGGGTGGCGGCACTTGTCATAATCGTCACCAAATCAGATCGACGCTGGTGTAAGGCAAGTGCTATATAGTCAATCAACACTTGCACTTCTTTATTCAATAAAGTGGCAAACTAGCCTGTTTATCTACGTATAGCGAGAGTTCCTTTTTGCATTTGTGCCTTCTTCTCTGTAGTTCTGTTTTCTGTCCTAGCGATCTCTTGAAGATTGCTAGTGTGGTCAACATATAAGTTTCCTGAAAAGAGGCATCAGACTCACACGGTCTTGAATACTAACCTTTGTGCTATCGCAGTCAAACTTGTATTGCAAGACGAAGACAAGTTGTCGGTAGCAGAAAGAAGTAGAATTGAACACGCTACTTGATTTGCAAAAACACATGTAGAATCGAAGGCAGTTTGTGGACAATTCTGATTTGGTCGGCGTCATATGGTACACCACCAATGTAAACCGGAATACTTAGCTGGCTTTTACACATGATATTTTGTTTTCGCTTGCAGTTCTTAACATGATTACGAAAAAACTCTTCTCAGTGGAACTTTACACGATTCAAGACATAATTTGCAAGACAGCAACCAACCATACACAAATGCAGCTGTACGAAAAGTAAACTATGGTCACGAATAAATTCTCTGGAACGAAGGAAACTCATTAAGATAGTAGCATGTCTAGCGTTGGAGATATTGAGTTGCAACTGCAGCACCAGACACCACCAAGTGATCATCTTAGTGATCAAAGCGATTCCCATGATTCTTCTTCTCCATCTTCATCCAATTTGTCTTCTCTTCATCCAATATCGACACCACATTGGGGGAAGCTAATCTGGCACACTATTATCTCCATCCTTGTCTGTGCACACATAGCTGCATTTGCGAATTACCTCGTTTACAGGGTCTATGTCTACTCTAAACATCCCGGAGAGCTCGTGAGAAGGCCGTGACTGATAGTTTTGACGACTTGCGAGGTGATATACTTTGCGAGCAGCGTTATTTCGGCTGCGGATCTGGTATTACCGCCTCGAATATGGCGGCCCCGTCAGTGTTTATCGTTGAATTGGGAAGAGCTTCCGACGGTTGACATATTTCTTCCCTGCTATAAAGAGCCCACTGACGTTCCCGAGGATTCCATTCAGGCTGCCCTGGCCATGGATTATCCCAAGCACCAGTTTCGAGTTTTGGTCCTTGATGATGGAGGGGACGATGAGCTAAAACGATACTGTGAGGAATTGGAGAGTGCTTGTGTCAAATATCTTCGTAGAAAGAAGGTAGCTTACAATATTGTTATTCCCTTCCCAGTGCGTGCTCATGATCTCACTGTTGCAGATTCCAGGAGTCCCACACAACTTCAAATGCGGTAATCTTAACTACGGCCTGGAGCATTCCGACGCGGAGTTCGTGGTGACAATGGACGCAGACATGATACTTCACCCCTCATTCTTGAAGACTTTGCTCCCTCACATAGTGAAGGACCCCAAAGTGTCATTCGTGCAAATCCCTCAATCGTTTTATAACCTGCCAGTGGGAGACCCTCTAAACGATGCTTGCGTATTTGGCTACGAGCGTGTCATGATTCACAGGGACACATTTGGGGCCGCACCATGCGTTAGAACTGGAGCAATCTTCCGAAGGAAACATCTGGACGAGATTGGAGGCTTCCAGCCAATGTCAATCACAGAAGACACCATGACCGCATTCAAGCTCTTCAACCAGGACTTCAAGTCCGTCTACCTCAACCGCAAGCTTCAGGTCTGCTGTTGCTCAAAACACGGTGACTTTTGTTGACTCCACCTTTGATTGTTAGATTGGTCTTACACCGTGGACGTTTGAAGGATATATCAAGCAGCGGCGGCGGTGGTGCCAGGGAGCTATACAGCAATTCTCTGCGACATGGAGAGAGATGCTTGGGCCAAAGAGTAAACTCTCCTTGGTTCTCAAGGTGAGTTTCTTCTGGCGCACGGGATACTACTTCATCGCAATCGTCAACCTTGTTATGCTTCTCCTCTTCATCGTTTGTCTTGCACTTCACTTTGACCTCATGATCGGCACCTCCCATGAGGCGCGGCGTGTTATCATACAGCTCGCCATCTTCCTCATTTTCTGGCGCCTTTCTTGGATGTCAGTCTGGCTCAGTCTTCCACAATCCATCGGACGAGTCACATTTCTGGTGGATGACACCCTTCTTCCTCCAAACCATATATAAGTCCATCTTTTCGTACTCTTCCACTTTCACATTCACTCCAACAAGCAGCATCGATCGAGTTGCAGCACAGGCCAAGCTCACCAAGCAGCCAGCCTTGATCAAATTTTTCCTTGTCAAGCTCAAACATGTAAAGGTTCACATCATCTACATACTCCTGGTCTTGGCAGTGGTGGCCTACAGAATTTCCTGGGTAGCGAAGCAAAGAGGCCGAAATTGCAGCCATGATTTTTACGTGATCGCAATGTCCTTCTTTCTTCTTTCAACTTGTACACACATGCTTGTACCAATTGTGTACATTTTGTGTCCGCCCAGCTACAAGCCTGGGCAGCGCAAGGGGCTGCTTCACTACAAGGAAAAGGTTCCACATTTCGTGGAGGGAGACCATCTCCCAAAGTGGCACTGGTCAGCCATGTTTTACGAGGCCATAGCTAACGTGGTTGTGGTGATTTTCTGGGTGGCAGCACTTGTTATTGCTGTCACTAAGGCAGTTCGCCAATGGTGTAAAACTGGTGCTGTATAAAAGCTTACATAAAGTCTTGTTTAAAGGGTTTTGGGAAGAATGCGCCAGCGGACTTTCGTCACACCATCTGCTAGCACAGGGACTTTTACTACGTCCAGCCCGATGTTGCCTGGACAAGCTGTACCACACCATCAAACGTATGAAAGACGATGGCACGATGTATAAGGTTCAGGGCTTTCTGCTCATCGGCATGATGAGCGTGAAGGACTTGTTTGAGGGGCGATTTGGTGATGGACAATTGCGTGCTATCCAAGACTATCAGCTGTCATTCTGGTTGGAAGACTTGTTTCGACAGGTTAACTACAAGGCTTAATGTCCGGACATAATAAGAGTCTACTCGGCATTTTTCACTTGGGACGCTATTAACTATTTAGACATAAACCTTGACAGCATACACCTCCACAACTCCAACACATTCAGCCTGGTTGGGCGAATACCAACTCAAGGGGCATGATAGCAGACCGGAAGAACTTTGAGATTGTCTTGCTTTCTAACATAGATCTCTCGGGTGTAGATGGATGGATTCTCCAGACTTCAACACAAATGTGCGAGGCTTCTTCTTGCGGCTAAGGTTTGGAAGATGGGAGAAAGAACTTGGTGGAACCGGCTACAGGATGGCATGAATACGAGGTACTAAAGCTCTTGCAACGTTTCACCGAAGTTTGTAAAGTTCTCCCCAAATAAACAGGAGCCATCCGGAAGCTAGGTGGTGATGACAAGAACATGTCCGTCTCTGTGGATCTTGGAGACATGGAGTGCACAGTGGACAGTCAGTACGTCTCGAATCACTCCTTCACAGAGGTAAGAGAAAGTTCCATGGATGGATCCATCGATAAGCTTGGTCTCTAGGCAGAGCTTGTGGAATGGTGGAGGGAACGATGGAAGGCTGGCAAGCGACTCATCCCTGAGGCCGAGCTACAGGCGAAGCTCGCGCAGCGTCACAACTGGTAGGATTTTGTATAGCGCTTATATAAATCTTCCAAGGGATCGAGTTTAGTCTAGATTTTGGAACAACTTACTCAGGTTTTGGTTCTCTTCATTGACTGGCCTGGCAAGACCCAGTCGAGCCTCTTCTATGTTCCAGGGGAGAAGCAAGGATCTTTCAAGCTTGTGGATTGTGCTTTGTAGCGGCTTCGAAGGTGGCTTGGCTCAAAGAAGACCTCACTCCACCTGCACAGGAGGAGATCGAGCAAAAGGTTGGTGTGTTTGAGATGGGTTCCAAGCTGCTGCACTGAAGAAGGAAGTGAGAAGGAGGAGAGGCTGGTCGTGGATTACCTGAGATCTATTTCCGTGTTTATCATCCACCACATAGTTGCCGGAAAACATGTGAAACTTAAAAAACGTAACGTTTTAAACGCGTTCAAAAATGCCATTCTAAACGTTTGCACTATTTGCGAAAAGAGACAAAGGTTTCTTTAGGGTTTCTTTAGGGTTTCTTCAGGGTTCTTGTGGTCATGACAGGAATTGGAGGACACCGCAAATGCTGGAGCTGGAAGCATGTGATATGAGCAAAGCGGCATTGGACATGTAAGTATTGTCATGAGATTCACATTGGGGGAGTGGACCAAGTGCAAGCACATCTCATTGGAGTTCGGGCAAGAGGTGTGAAAACATGCAAAGCAATGCCTATGACGACTAAAATGGCTTCTTCTTTCATTTGTTTTAGTATGTTATTCGATTAGGTTTTATAAACTTAATATCAGATTAAAGTGTCTTTAGTAAATATTAGTGTTTTCTTAATCATTTTAGGCTTTAATATGTAAACGTTGGATTGTCCTGAAATGTTTTAAACGGCATTTAAACGTTGACACGTTGGAACATTTGCACATCTATGATCCACCATCTGCCGAAGTACGGGGACATGCAATGGTGTCTTACAGTCCCGGCGACTTGGAGCGACCAGGCCAAGGGCAGCATGCAAGTCTATGCTGAGAGGGCCAATCGTGGTGCCAAGAACGATACAGTGTCAGAGAGTGAGGCCGTCACACGCACCTTCGTTCCTCTAAACACGAACAATACCATCATGGGCATTAGCTTGCTTGGCTCCAGCAGCGATGCAGTACCAGTCTACCGCTACTACTTTGATATCAGCGAGGATTTGCAGCTGGGCAAGGGCCGCAAGGTGGAGCTGCATCAAGGTGTTTGCCCGGCGCATCAACTTTGGGATCAACCTTGAGCCCGAGAAGCTCTACTCGCTGGGGTTTGACGCAGCCACGCATTAACTAGTCACGTCCATAGTAGAAACGCGAAAGATAACCAAAACGAGTTGTTCTTTTAAAGGAGTTTTTTTTTTTTTTTTTTTTCTTGTCTCGGGATCGCTCGCACTCTGTGACACCCCATTGCCAAAGGTTGTCGTGGGTCTGGATTTCGGGACGACTTACTCTAGTTTTGCTTTTGTGCATCGCTCTGATCCAGAGGATGTCCATCTTTTCATCGACTGGCCGGGCGCTCGCTCCGGAGCACTTGGAGGTGGTACTTTTTTCGACTCTAACTTTCTGGAGTTTCTCACCAAGAAGATTGGATGCTTCAACACTTTCAAGCAGCAGGAGCCGGATGTGGTCCACAGGATCTTGAGCTGGTGGCTCGGACCCAAGGGCAAGTGCATGTTTGTTCAAATTCATGAAAGTTCCACCAAAGCTGCCGAAGGCATGGAAAGAGCATGACAGGGAGTTTGATACAGGAAACTGGGATTTGCTCCAGAGAGATGATGAGTGCTACCATGAGATTGAGATCGACTGCGAGGAGATGTGCGCAATCTTTGACACAGAAATCAACAAAACCATCCAGCTAATCGAGGAGAATTTTGACAAAGTTGACGGTATCAAGTACATATATCTGGTTGGAGGCTTCTCCGAGAGTCCGTACGTGGTGAAAAGGATCAAGGTGCGATTCAAAGAAGCAGTGGAAGCTGTGCATTGTCCTTTTAATCCCACCGCTGCGATCTGCCGAGGTGCCATGGCTCTCGGCACTGGAACAGGCGTTGTGCTCTCGAAAATCTCCAGAAAGTCTTACGGTATCTCCACAAGCCATATCTTTCACTGGGACGTCGATCCACCAGACTACAAGTTCTGCTTTGGGATCAAGAGGTATCAAAATGTTTTCTTCAAGGTGTTTGTCAAGAAGGACGAGCCAGTGACAGAGGATCAGTTGGTAACGCACTCGTTCTTCCCGCTATATAGTAATCAGAAGGCGATAGAGATTACTTGTTCAGCTACACGACCTAAACAGGTTGTGAGAAGCTCGATCACTATAGCTTCGACATTGACGAGGATCTACATCTCGACACTGACCCCGAGGTGGCCGTGACAATTTTCTTTGGGAGGAGCATTGAAGTGTCTACAAATTTTAAAAAGCTTACAACTTCTTGAACTCGTGAAACTTGCTTCCGTCCACAATTCGAGCAATGACAGAGCGAATATCATAGACTGCCTCACTTCCCCAGGAATGATACCATGCAATTCAGAAGGATCGTACAATGGTTGACGACAGCGTCGTCGTCCGCCCGGCGCATCAACTTTGGGAGTAACCGCGAGGCCGAGAGGTTCTACTCGGTGGAATTGGACGCTTCTCGAAAGTATGTCAACAACAAGGTTTATACAGCTCTCTTTCAGTACTACATTCCGAATACACATCTGATTTAACATTCAAACAGACCATTGTACACCTTTGGTCACGTAAAAGAATTAGCTGGCCTGTCGAGGTTCGCCGGCGTGATTCATCAGTCAGATCGTTAGTCATGTTCATCTATTCACGTCGCGTGCTTGGTCGAAATCAAAAGATTCGCAATGTTTTCTAAGATAGATTGGTATTGAAAGTCCATGATCTACAAAATGACTGCTGAACCAAAATGCACATGGACAGCTGGACGGACATGGCACGTCAATAATAACCCTATCAAACATGAATATGTAAGAAGTTCCAGATTCCTCCTCCCACAGCATCATGTCTAGTGTGCGGGATCTTGAGTTGCAGCAGCAGCCAAGTGATAATCTTAGCGACCAAAGTGACTCTAATGCTCCCCATGAGTCTTCTTCTTCTTCTTCTTCTCCGTCCAGTTCTCCTTCATCATCCACTTCTTTGTCAGCCGCTCCTCAAGCATCTCCATGGGGAAAGCTAATCTGGCACACAATCATTTGCCTCCTTGTCTCAGCACACATAGCTACATTTGTGAATTACCTCGGTTACAGGTTCTATGTCTACTCCAAGCATCCCGGCGAGCTTGTGAGAAGGCCGTGGCTGATAATTCTGACGATCTGCGAGGTGATATACTTTCTGAACAGCGTTATTGCAGCTGTAGATCTGGTGTTACCACCTCGAATATGGAGGCCCCGTCAGAGTTTGTCGTTGAATTGGGAAGAGCTTCCGACGGTTGACATATTTCTTACCTGCTGCAAAGAGCCCACTGACGTTCCCGAGGATTCCATTCAGGCTGCCCTGGCTATGGATTATCCCAAGCACCAGTTTCGAGTTTTGGTCCTGGATGATGGAGGGGACGATCAGCTGAAACAATACTGTGAGGTATTGGAGCATGTTGAGCCTCCGAGTGCTTCGGTCCGATATCTTCGTCGAGAAAAGGTCAGCTTTTAACTTTTATAACAGTTCTTTTTCAAATGCGGTAACCTTAACTACGGCCTGGAGCATTCGGACGCAGAGTTCGTGGTGATGATGGACGCAGACATGATACTTCACCCATCGTTCCTGAAGACTTTACTTTCTCATATCGTGAAAGACCCCAAAGTGTCATTCGTACAGATACCTCATTCGTTTTACAACCTTCCGGTGGGAGATCCTCTAAACGATGCTTGCGTATTTGGCTACGAGCGTGTCATGATTCACAGGGACACATTTGGGGCCGCACCGTGCGTTGGAACTGGAGCAATCTTCCGAAGGAAACATCTGGACGAGATTGGAGGCTTCCAGCCAATGTCAATCACAGAAGACACCTTGACCGCATTCAAGCTCTTCAACCAGGGCTTCAAGTCCGTCTACCTCAACCGCAAGCTTGTTGCTCAAAACACGGTGACTTTTGTTGACTCCACCTTTGATTGTTAGATTGGTCTTACACCGTGGACGTTTGAAGGATATATCAAGCAGCGGCGGCAGTGGTGCCAGGGAGCTATACAGCAATTCTCTGCGACATGGAGAGAGATGCTTGGGCCAAAGAGCAGGCTTTCATTTCTACTCAAGGTGTGCTACTTCTGGCACACTGTATACTACTTCATCTCAATTTTCAACATTGTAATGGTCTTGCTCTTCATAGTTCTCCTTGCCTTGAACTTGGACCTCATTGTTGGCACCTTTCACAATAGCCGACGCATTCTTATAAATCTCTCAGCTCTTCTTATCTACTGGCACCTGTCTTGGTTCGCGGTATGGCTCAGTCTTCCCCAGCCAATCCAAAGTTGCAACTGGGACGAGTCACATTTCTAGTGGATGACCCCTTACTTCTTCAAAACGATATACAAGTCAATCTTTTCAAACTCTTCCACCTTTATATTCACTCCAACAAGCAACATTGACCGTGCTGCAGCACAAGCCAAGCTCAAGAAGCAACCAGCGGTGATCAAAGTTCCTTGTCAAACTCAAGCACGTAAGGGTGCACATTATCTACATATTCCTGGTTTTGGGTGTGGTTGGCTACAGGATTTATTGGATAGCCGAGCAAGGTGGCAAAAACTGCCAGAATGATTTCTACGTGATCGCCATATCGTTTTTTCTACTTTCCACCTGTGCACACATGCTCATACCAATTATGTACATCTTGTGTCCACAAAGCTACAAGCCTGGGGAACGCAAGTCACTGCTTCACTACAAGGAAGGAGTTCCACAATTTTTGGAGGGAGACTATCTCCCAAAGTGGCACTGGTCAATAATCTTTTACGAGGGGATATCTAACGTTGCTACGAGTATCTTCTGGGTGGCGGCACTTGTTATAATCGTCACCAAATCGGATCGACGCTGGTGTAAGGCAGGTGCTATATAGTCAATCAACATTCGTTGTACATGCCACTTCTTTGTTTAGTAAAGTGGCAAACGATCTCTGAGAAAAAACGTATAGCCAAAGTTGCTTTGTGCCTTCTTCTTTTGTAGTTTGAATTCTCTTTTCTGTCCTAGAAATCTCTTGAGGATTGCTAGTGGTCAACATTGGGATGCATATAAGTTTCGTGAAAGGAGGCATCAGACTCGCAGTGAGTGTGGTGGTCTTGAATATTAACCTTTGTCCCTGCTATCACAGTCAAACTTGTAATGCAAGACGATGACAAGTTGTCGGTAGCAGAAAGAAGCAGAATTGGACACGCTACTTGATTCGCAAAAACACATTTAGATTCGAAGGCAGTTTGTGGACAATTCTGATTTGGTCGGCGTCATATGGTACACCACCAATGTAAACCGGAATATTTAGCTAACTTTTACACATGATATTTGTTTTCGCTTGCAGTTCTTAACATGCTTACGAAATAACTCTTCTCAGTGGAACTTTACACGAATCAAGACACAATTTGCAAGACAGCAACCAACCATACACAAATGCAGCTGTACGAAAAGTAAATTATGCTCACGAATAAATTCTCTGGAACGAAGGAAACTCATTAAGATAGTAGCATGTCTAGCATTAAAGATCTTGAGTTGCAGCAGCAGCAGCAGGAGACACCACCAAGTGATCTTAGTGATCCAAGCGATTCCCATGATTCTTCTTCTCCATCTTCATCCAATTCGTCTTCTCTTCATCCAATACCGACACCACATTGGGGGAAGCTAATCTGGCACACTATTATCTGCATCCTTGTCTGTGCACACATAGCTGCATTTGCGAATTACCTCGTTTATAGGATCTATGTTTACTCTAAACATCCCGGAGAGCTCGCGAGAAGGCCGTGGCTGATAGTTTTGACGACTTGCGAGGTGATATACTTTGCGAGCAGCGTTATTTCGGCTGCGGATCTGGTGTTACCGCCTCGAATATGGCGGCCCCGTCAGAGTTTATCGTTGAATTGGGAAGAGCTTCCGACGGTTGACATATTTCTTCCCTGCTGTAAAGAGCCCACTGACGTTCCCGAGGATTCCATTCAGGCTGCCCTGGCCATGGATTATCCCAAGCACCAGTTTCGAGTTTTGGTCCTTGATGATGGAGGGGACGATGAGCTAAAAAGATACTGTGAAGAATTGGAGAGTGCTTGTGTCAAATATCTTCGTCGAAAGAAGGTAGCTTACAATAGTCGTTATTCCCTTCCCAGTGCGTGCTCATGATCTCACTGTTCCAGTCTTCCAGATTCCAGGTGTCCCACACAACTTCAAATGCGGTAACCTTAACTACGGCCTGGAGCATTCCGACGCGGAGTTCGTGGTGATGATGGACGCAGACATGATACTTCACCCCTCATTCTTGAAGACTTTGCTCCCTCACATAGTGAAGGACCCCAAAGTGTCATTCGTGCAAATCCCTCAATCGTTTTATAACCTGCCAGTGGGAGACCCTCTAAATGATGCTTGCGGATTTGGCTACGAGCGTGTCATGATTCACAGGGACACATTTGGGGCCGCACCCTGCGTTGGAACTGGAGCAATCTTCCGAAGGAAACATCTGGACGAGATTGGAGGCTTCCAGCCAATGTCAATCACAGAAGACACCATGACCGCATTCAAGCTCTTCAACCAGGGCTTCAAGTCCGTCTACCTCAACCGCAAGCTTCAGGTCTGCTGTTGCTCAAAACACGGTGACTTTTGTTGACTCCACCTTTGATTGTTAGATTGGTCTTACACCGTGGACGTTTGAAGGATATATCAAGCAGCGGCAGCGGTGGTGCCAGGGAGCTATACAGCAATTCTCTGCGACATGGAGAGAGATGCTTGGGCCAAAGAGCAAACTCTCCTTGGTTCTCAAGGTGAGTTTCTTCTGGCACACGGGATACTACTTCATCGCAATCGTCAACCTTGTTATGCTTCTCCTCTTCATCGTTTGTCTTGCACTTCACTTGGACCTCATGATCGGCACCTCCCATGAGGCGCGGCGTGTTATCATCCAGCTCGCCATCTTCCTCATTTTCTGGCGCCTTTCTTGGATCTCAGTCTGGCTCGGTCTTCCACAATCCATCCAGAGTCGTAACCGGGACGAGTCACATTTCTGGTGGATGACACCCTTCTTCCTCCAGACCATATACAAGTCCATTTTTTCGTACTCTTCCACTTTCACATTCACTCCAACAAGCAGCATCGATCGAGTTGCGGCACAGGCCAAGTTCACCAAGCAGCCAGCCTTGATCAAATTTTTCCTTGTCAAGCTCAAACATGTAAAGGTTCACATAATCTACATACTCCTGGTCTTGGCAGTGGTGGCCTACAGAATTTCCTGGGTAGCGAAGCAAAGAGGCCGAAATTGCAGCCATGATTTTTACGTGATCGCAATGTCCTTCTTTCTTCTTTCAACTTGTACACACATGCTTGTACCAATTGTGTACATTTTGTGTCCGCCCAGCTACAAGCCTGGGCAGCGCAAGGGGCTGCTTCACTACAAGGAAAAGGTTCCACATTTCGTGGAGGGAGACCATCTCCCAAAGTGGCACTGGTCAGCCATGTTTTACGAGGCCATAGCTAACGTGGTTGTGGTGATTTTCTGGGTGGCAGCACTTGTTATCGCTGTCACCAAGGCAGATCGCCAATGGTGTAAAACTGGTGCTGTATAAAAGCTTACATAAAGTCTTGTTTAAAGGGTTTTGGGAAGAATGCGTCAGTTCTGCAGCGGACTTTCGTCACGCCATCTGCTATCACAGGGACTTCTACTACTTCCAGCCTGATGTTGCCTGGACGAGCTGTACCACACCATCAAACGTATGAAAGACAATGGCACGATGTATAACGTTCAGGGCTTCCTGCTCATCGGCATGGTGACCGTGAAGGATTTGTTTGAGGGGCGATTTGGTGATGGACAATTGCGTGCTATCCACGACTATCAGCTGTCATTCTGGTTGGAAGACTTGCTTCGACAAGTTAACTACAATAGTGGTGATGTTGTGCGCGACTGTGGTGGGCATACGTGATGGGCTTACTACTCGGCATTTTTAACTCCGATAACATAAACCTTGACATCTCCACACAGCATACACCTCCACAACTCCAACACATTCAGCCTGGTTAGGTAAATACCAACTCAAGGGGCATGGGGAAGAACTTCGAGATGGTGTTGAAAGCGGCAGTGTGTTCTTTATTACATGGAAGAGAGGTTACTTACATTCCACCACGCAGACGAAGGACGAGATGGAGGGTCGACTCCTTCTGGATGTTATAATCCGCCAGGGTACGCCCATCCTCGAGCTGCTTCCCGGCAAAGATGAGACGCTGCTGGTCCGGGGGAATTCCCTCCTTGTCCTGGATCTTAGTCTTGACGTTGTCAATCGTATCCGAGCTCTCCACCTCCAGAGTGATGGTCTTGCCAGTCAGGGTCTTGACGAAAATCTGCATGCCACCACGGAGGCGCAGGACGAGATGGAGGGTCGACTCCTTCTGGATGTTGTAGTCCGCCAGAGTCCGCCCATCCTCGAGCTGCTTCCCAGCGAAGATAAGTCGCTGCTGGTCCGGGGGAATTCCCTCCTTGTCCTGGATCTTCGTCTTAACATTGTCGATGGTGTCCGAGCTCTCCACCTCGAGAGTGATCGTCTTGCCGGTCAGGGTCTTCACAAAGATTTGCATCCCGCCGCGCAGCCGCAGGACGAGATGGAGGGTAGACTCCTTCTGGATGTTGTAGTCCGCCAAGGTCCTGCCGTCCTCTAGCTGCTTACCTGCAAAGATGAGACGCTGCTGGTCCGGAGGAATCCCTTCCTTGTCCTGAATCTTCGTCTTAACATTGTCGATGGTGTCCGAGCTCTCCACCTCGAGAGTGATCGTCTTGCCAGTCAGGGTTTTCACAAAGATCTGCATCGTTGCTGCCGAAAGAAGCCTACAGTCTCGCAAAAAGAAACGATAAATCGATCAGATCCGGTAAGGCAATCACGAAATCCTTGAGAATTTCAAGCAAGAAATCAACACCGCCATACCCACTCACCAAGAAACGCAACCACCGCCTACGAATTGTAGAAAACCCTTACCCTATCCTTTATTTTATACGTGAGAGAGAATGATCATGGCCGTTCAAACTGACGGTTAAGATTCAATCCATTGTGATATCATAGAGTCTTGTGCTCCAGATGAGAAAAATGTGATTTGATTTTAACGTTGGCTACTACAGATGGAATCTTGGAACAGCTTTGTAGTTTAAAAAGGATTTGAGACTTTACAATGTGAGATCGCTCGTTTGAGAAGATGACAGCCTTCTTATGCAAGGATTTTCTCCTGATCAAACATCCGGACATCATCTCTCCTCTCTGATTTTGTGACTCTTTCTTTAGTCAAGTTGCGCGTACCATATACCTTGGATCTTCACTTCCTTGGGAGCCTTCGATCCCAGATCCGTGTCCGAGGGCTGGATGCTCTCAAATACCCCGGCAATCTCTCCAGTGGCGGTGTTACTCTCCGCCACCTTCAAGGTGATGTTCCCAGTCGACCCCGAGGTATCTTTGAGGTTCTCCTTGCCGAGCTCCTCCTCGTCACCAGCGCCTCCGGCCGGCAACGCCACCGCATTGTCATACCCGGTGGATCCACCGCGTCCCTTGGGGTCTAGAAACGAGGAGCCCCTGTAAGACGGCACCAGAAAGCTTCCACTGAATCCATCCGGGGAGCCAGTCGCTACGAGCTCCTTGATGGTGAAGAGGAATGGAACTCGCTCGCCTCCGGGGAGCTGGACGGTAACCGCAGCGTAGTCGATGCCATCCTTCTCCACCAGCTTGAGGTTTCCCTTCTCGTCCACGCTCAAGTCGGCCTCGATCTCGTCCAGCGTGTATGTCAGCCTCGTCATGAGCTTGGTGTCGACGTATTGATCGCCGCCACCCTTGAATGGCGACTCCTTCTTCACGGTGAAGGACGTGGGCTCGAGGCAAAACTTCTTGACGCTGTAGCTGCCGGGCTTGAACTTGAATCCTTCGTCGCCACCGGACAGGATCGGGCACTGGTTGGCGGTGCCGCTGCCTTTCACCTCGAGATACGTCTGGGCTTGGACCTCGTCGTATGTGAGGCGCTTTGGATTCGCGGCGGCGGTCTAGAGCATCACAAAACAGGGGAAATTCATGAGAATGACTACCAGACTTGCTCCAATTCTCTCAATTCATCCGTCCAGCAGAGGAGATCTTTCGCTTACCCCCGCGACGAGCAATGTGGCTGCGGCAGTGGCAACGGCGACCTTGCCCACATCCGTGGCCCTCTTGACAATGTCCTCCATGGAGCAAGTGAGGCGCGCTCCTCCTCCATTGCTGCGCAATCCAAATGCCTTGGACACCGACACCGGGCGGAGGCTGGCGGACGATCCTGCAGAGGCATCGAGCTTGGGCTGGAGGAGCGATGGCCCGGCCTTGGCTGCTACCACCGATGCCGCCATTGCGCTGCTTGGATCTCGCGCACTGCTCTGTTTTAGGGCTAAACAGAGCGTTTAGGGCTCTTGGATAGCGCGGATATATGGATAAGAGGTTTGCCGCCACAAGCTCGAGCAGCCAATGAGCACGCGCCACCTGGCTCTTTCAAAGCCAAAGGATATGATATCTAGCTTTGTTTGATTGAGATATCCAATCCATGGTACTGTTTTTCTTTACATTCTTTCTATCAGAGTTATCTCTTAGCAATCAATCGAGCTTTGCATACCACACGCCCGATACCTTGACCCTCTTCTTCTCCTTGTTTCCAATGAGGAAGCCCGCGTTGGATCTGGACCGTAGATCCAGGCCCGAGAGCTGGCTGGTTTCGAACTCGCCACCCAGCTCCTTGGCTTCCAAGTTGCTCCTCGTCACCTTGAACACAATGCTGCCCTCCGTGGTGGTGCTCTCCAGCGGCTCGGTCTCATCCACGTCCAGTTTCTTCGGTTGGATCGTCGCTGTGGGAACTATAAACTGGCCACCGAAAGATTCCGGCCTACCCGACGCAACCAGGTCTTGGATCCCAAACATGAAGGGCACTAGCTCCTGTTTCCCGGGAAGCCTAGCGATGACTTTGGCGATGGTGGTGTCCGTGTTGAGCCCTTTCTTCTCCTCGAACTTGACACCACCGTCTGGAGCCACGGCCAGGGAGCCCTCGATCCCGTCCACCCTCGCAAGCAGCTTCGTCTCGTACGTTGTCGAGATGTCAAACTCGCCAATCCCGGCCTTCCGGGTGACTTGGTATGAGGTTGGCTGCAAACACATGTTGGTCACGTAGTAGTCACCGGGTTCCAGTTTGAAACCGTCGGTGGCACCGCTGGTGACGGGGCTCGGGCATTTGGTTCCTGTCCACTTACCTTTGACGTCCAGATAGGCTCGCATCATTTGATCGTCGTAGCTGGGGGTTTTGTCCAGGTATTCGCGGATCTCCTCGTCGCTGGATCCGAAGCGAGGGCGCGGCCGGGCATCTGCTGCCTATCAAAGCCAGACAAGGGACACAAGATCTATAAGAGAACTCACAAATGCCCACACCGGGCAAATGCTGTGTCGAAGGAGGAGGTGAAAGATGGTCTATGGCGAGGAGCTTACCCCGGCCAGGAGGACTGTGGCCGCCACTGTAGCGAATGCGAGCTTGCCTGCTTTTCTGGTGAAGTCTTCCATGGAGGAGCAAGAGCAAACTACAATGTGGCCGCCATTTCTTCGAGTAGAGGAGGAAGATTGATGCGGGAGAAGGAGCGACCTGGTTGCAACGAGAGAGGACGCCATTACTCTGCTATCTCTGGAAATGGATTCGAGCAAAGGGTAAAGAAAGTGTGGTTCTATCTAAAGGTAAAGAACGATCGATGTCTCGCGAGCTAAGATCCTCGTAGAGGTCACAAAAAAAAGATAAAAGGGTTTCTTTTGGTGTGTGTGCGTGTGTGTGTGAGAGAGAGTGAGAGATGGATGTCTTGTGTTTTTCCGGGTGCGTGTCGCTCAGGTGTGGTGCCGCCCCTCGTCGCCTCGCATTTGGGCGCGCCAAGATCGCGATCAGGGTGCGCGCTGCCAAGGATGGAAGCGAATCACAGGTGAAAACAGCAACCGACGCCGTCAATCTGGGCTTGTCACTCTTCTCCAAAGGAAGGGTACTTTAGCGAAGCTCCATGGATGTGGATGATTCCATACGTGTTGGTTTGTTCTCACTAGGCAGGTGAAGGACGCATTGCATCAGTTTGATACCGCCCTGGCCATGAATCCAAACTTCGATGAGGCGCAGGCCGCGTACTACAACAAAGCTTGCTGCCATGCTTCAAGGTTTCGTGCTTTCTTCGACTCTTTCGTTTCTTCTCTCCTTTCGTGACCATTTGTTTCCAGGGAAGAGCCCGCGAAAGCAGCACAGGCATTGCAAACAGCGCTGCGTGATTACAACGTCAAGTTTCATGTCATCCTCAATGATCCGGACCTTGCTCCCTTCCGAGCGTCTCCAGAGTTCAAGGCTCTCCAGGACGAGGTTGAGCCAATCTCTCTCTCTCAATCTTTGCTTGGCCCGAAGTGATGAGCTTTGCCGTGCACTGGACAGGCTCGGAAAGGTGGCGAAGACACTGGAAGCAGCTTCCGAAGAGACTTAAAGCTCATCAGCGAAGTCCAGGCACCGTTTCGTGGCGTTCGCAAGTTTTTCTACGTCGCATTCACGATTGCCGCTGGGATCGCGACTTTCATCACGGTCCCGAGGCTCATTCGTGCACTGCAGGGGGGAGAGGACGCTCCAAGCGTCACGGAGACCGCACAGAATCTGGCAATAGACCTCGCAGGTAAATGTGATGAGAGTGTGTTTTCATCTAATCAAGGTTGCGCTTTTTCACAGGTATAGTGGCTTTTGTGTCCTTGTTTATCTGGGACAGCAAGAAAGAAGAGACGCAAATGTCTCAAATCACAAGAAACGAGACTTTGTCAAGGCTTCCTGTCCGGCTCGGAACTGGACGCATCGTGGAGGTGGTGCAACTTCGAGGGATCACACGACCGGTAAGAAGTTTTTTCTTTCCAATATCAAACCAAGCTTGCTTGTATGTTCTCTTGGAGCGAAAGGTGATATTGGCCGGTACCAAAGAGTCGATCAAGGGAGCTTTGGAGAAGGCGGAGAGATACCGCAAAGATCTCCTGCAACGAGGCGTGCTCTTGATTCCGGTCGAGTGGAGGAAAAAGGACGAGACGCCTAAGAAGAAAGGATTTGGACGCTCCGTAAAAGCTCCAGCAGCTGGCTCCGGCAGCGTAAGCTTATCCAATCCGTGGTTCCTAAATTTCCCTTTTCTCTCGTGATTCAGGATGATTTTCAAAAACGAGCGCAGGACGCGGCACTGAAGGCAGTGCTCGAGAGTGAGAAGCGATTTGTAGCGGAGGTGGTTTCTCAAGCAGAATGGGAGAGGTGAGTATCTTGTTTCTACCTTGTTTGAGCGTTTAGAGTGTGGAAACGACAATCAGGTGGATCTTTGAGCAGCAAGAGTCGGAAGGAGTAACCGGTGGCGAAGAGGTTTTCATTGTGCTCCGGCTCGATGGGAGAATCCGCAAATCGGGTCGGGTAAGCAAATCTTCTTAATCTAGTTGGCTAGAGAGCAAAAGTGATTTGGGTGCTGCTACAGGGAATGCCTGAATGGCAAGAGCTTGTCAAGGAGCTTCCTGTGCTAGATTCGATGATGAGCAAGCTCGAGAGATGATATCATCGATCGTTTGCTCATGAGCGGTGCTTTTTAGGCAATTGCTACCAAGTTGGAAATTTTAATAATATAGAAATTTAAATACTTATAAAAACAAGGTAGAAAATTTTAAATTGTAATTATGATTAAAATTCTCCTTATTAAAAGACAAGACAGTGATGAAAGAAACAATTTAATAAGATATTAGAACATGATTAACTATTTTATTAATAAATTTACATATATAATATAAGAAACAGAAATGGTAAGTATAAAGAAAATATGTTGATATCATCGATCGTTTGCTCATGAGCGGTGCTTTTTAGGCAATTGCTACCAAGTTGGAAATTTTAATAATATAGAAATTTAAATACTTATAAAAACAAGGTAGAAAATTTTAAATTGTAATTATGATTAAAATTAAAACCTTCTCCTTATTAAAAGACAAGACAGTGATGAAAGAAACAATTTAATAAGATATTAGAACATGATTAACTATTTTATTAATAAATTTACATATCTAATATAAGAAACAGAAATGGTAAGTATAAAGAAAATATGTATTAGCAAAAAGATTTTGAATCCCATTCAGAATATAATTTAGGGTTAGTGCTAAATGTTTTTTGGTATCCAATATATAAAACCAAATTACAATCATTTTGTATAACTAAATATGTAGCTTTATAACAATTATAAGAAGTGCAATAAGTATTTGTTGTCCAAACAGGTTTACTATCATAAGAATATAAAACTAAATTTCCATCCTCTTGCAATCTTAGAATACAGTTTGTTCCTTTTTTTGAAGTATTTGAAGACCATAATGTTTTTATACCCATATATACTATTAAGTTACAATCAGAGCTTAAATATAAATGTGCTTTATGATTTGAAGAAATTAAAAATTGTGAAGGTAATAGATATTGATGCAGCATATTGATAGAACCACTTATTAAAAAGCTTGAAAACAAATAGCATTGAGAATGTCTTACTAAAATCTGTTGTCTTCTGTGTTGTTGATTATTAAAATTTCTAACAAAATAATAAATTAAAAAATGCTCAGTGTTTATAATAATAAATGAGGCAGCAAAATTGAGCATCTCATCAGAAGACTCTTCTAAAATGTGATTTAGTGAATTTCTTATGTTAACTCCTAATTCTACACCTCCTTCGGAATTTATAGTACAAAATTCTCTAATTGTTTCTAATACAAAAATACCAAATCCAACATATGTATGAGTTCTATCTGGATGTTGAACATCTACTTCTCCATGTACACTTTGTCTTAATGGAATTATACTATTTGGTATATTATTAATTGAATTTCTAATAGCTCCTATAATAGCATGTACAACATTTTCACTTATAGCATCAAATACTCCAGTCTGATATTCAATTTGTTTAGAAACTTTAAATAAAAGTAGTAAAATGAAAATATTTAATGCTATTCTCATTGCAAATAGTAATAGCAAAGAAATAAAATTAAAACTGTTTTTAACCTTATAGATATATAAAAATTTATTTATATAAAATTTAGAATAAGTTAAAATAATAAAATAAAGATTTTTTAAAATGTAAACTTATAGATATTTTTTTTGTCTCTAAGGTTCAAGATAATTTATGAAAGACATTCCAAGCCAGATGGATTTTTGTTTTAGTTTGAATCTTTTATTTGTCTTGTAATGCAGTAGCTAATTTATTTTCAAGTGGATGACTAGGAATTAAGTACAAATACAAAGTACACCAACATTTTGTTGTGAAAGATACCACTTGTTCCCACATCATGGGTGGCTTGTGATACCTAAGTAAAGGGTGAATAGTCAAACTTGTCTTGATTGGTGCATGTGTCACCAGCTTGATAGCTCAAATTGTGGAAGTGTCAATCAAGGCTTTATCAGCCCTTGAACATTAAACTTGTTTACATGAGATGTCAACACAACCTATAAAAGCCTTAGGCAAGGGACCCAACCAAGAAAAGACACAACTCTCTCTCTTAGTCACTCACAGACCATTTGGGGCAATTAGATTTCCCTAGCCAGCTATAAGAACCATAAGAACCCGAGTGTTAAATGTTGCAACCCTAGATGGTGTATAAGGGGGTTTCCACATGCCAAGAAAAACAACATTAGAAGTCTCATATTATAGAACTTTAACTTTAGGTGCTAGCATGGGATGTTGCAAGTCTCAAGTTGCTTTACTTCACACTCTCGAATGCATAGAAAGATCCTATTCCTGACACAAATTCTATTACACTTTTACAGATGTTAAACATTAATAAACACAAATGAGGTGGAGTGTGCATATGATTGATTAATCAATCAATTAGTCTATACTTCTAATTTATGTCTTCAGCCATAGATTTGTAGTAGCTAAGGCCTAGCTTAACCTCATAAAGCTATGAACACTATAAACTAATATACTAACTATACAACACTTTGCCCAACCATACCATACTAGTTGGTGGAATCCTTATGTTAGGCTATTGGTATGCTAAAATTATGCTATATCCTTGTGCTAGACTATTGATATATGCCAAACTTTGTTTAACTTTGTTTTGCATGTTAGTCCTAGTATTGAGATGATGAATGCTTTAGAATTGTTTTAATGTCACTTTGTATATTTGTCCTATTATTCTTTGGGTTATATGTTCATGAGTAATTCCATGTTTTAATTCCTTCACTCTTTGGTTATATGCTCAAAAATTTAGTTTTATCCCTTCATTTAATGGCTGAGTGTAGCGCATGTGATTATGGGATGAGATTTGGATATACTATTACCGTGGATCCTTGGAACCTTGGGGGATAAATGGGGATAAAATAGCCACTAAGGGCTCTTTCATCAAGCAATTGCCCCTTTTCCAGTTGGCTTAAGGGGAAAGAGATAGGGTGCACTACAGTTGGTATCAGAGGATGAGTTTCGGCAAGTACTATCTAATGAGATTGGGCAACTAGTTTCATTGCATACGTAGAGATGAAAACGATGATCCAAATGGGTACATGTTTGGGTGCAAAGGCTTCACAATCGTTCTTTGGGTATGGATTTTGTTACCTTGTTGTACTTTGTAATGTGAGTTTGCTCTTGGGCTCATAAGAGGGATTGAGTTGTTCCGGTTGCACGAGTTTAAGCTTGGGCTCGTGAGTGAGGCACATTAGCAACTCGAGGTTACACTTTGAGTTGGCAGGATTAATGTTAGCCTATCGGTGGTTCCATGAGTTGTTCCATGTACCATGGGTGAAAGTAAACTTTCCCTAGGTTTGCTATGAGTGGCAAATAGGCTGGTCTATAACTGTTTAGCACGGCATTAGTGGATCCTTCCTAAGCATGATTATGAGTGAATCAACCAAGACTGTAGGGATTAGTCTATTGGTTCAAGTAGTCATTGCCGTGCTCTCTCATAAACTTTTCTTAGATTGAACTGAAAACAATGCGAATGCAAACTTGAGGTTTAGTCAAAGATGAGACCGAAAAGAGAGTCATTAGAGACGAAGGATAAAACATGTAAATCATTTTCTCTTGGAGAGATGATTTGCAATGAGGTGTTGACTCATTGCTCGTGTTCACATTATGCAATCAAGAGTCCCTACCTTGATGCATGTTGAAAATGATGGTCTTACAAATGGTGAGTTATGGGATGGATAGCGGTGAAGCGCTAAACCATTTTGTCTAAGCTTGCTATTAGAAGACTTGAGTTACAGTGCTCAATTCTTTTCTAGGGAACCTTGCTATTGCTCCTTAAGTAGCTTGGTGTTAGATTAGTGTTGAGTTTGGTCGGATAGAGAGTGGTATGAGGTTGTCCATGTTGTGAACAAAAGTTAGTGGTGTTTAGTATTGTAAATCTCTATTGGTGGAGTGTGGCATTTATGTTGCATTTTGTTGAATTGAGTTGGCACTTGATGCTCACATAAACTTTTGAAATAATGACATTAGCATTGCTCATGGTGTTGCTCAATTGATGATTAAGTCATTATGATTTTATATCATATCCATGTGATAATGAGCAATGTGTTTACAAAGTTGCTTGGTTAAAAAATGATCAACCCCAAAGTGGTTGATGGTGAAGCTAATCTACTTACATGAAGTAGCATTGTAGTAGCTTTGATTGGATTCTCGATGATGGTCCATTATGCTAAATTTAAGTTGGTTCCCTGGTTCCTTAAGTTTGCCCATTAAAGTGGTGGAAAAGGGGTATAACATTCATTTGCTATAGCTTGTTGGTTTATCCGTTAGCACTTGGAGTAGATTGTTGGATAAAGAAGGTGTGAGGTTTAAGGCATTGACATCACTAGCACATGTGTTAGTGGAAGTGGCATTATTACTTCAAGTGATAAAGAATTTTCCTTAGAGCTTGATTTTCTATGTCATTTTTCTTGTTAGTGTTTTAGCTTCACATTGGATTTTGAGAATGATTGAAGAAAAGTGTTAGTGCAATATGGATATTTGAAAGATATGGTCTTCGTGATCAAGTTTTAGATGTTCACTTTGTATTTTGCAAATGTCGGTTTTGGATATTGGAAATATGGGCATGATGTTCGACGCTTAAGCATACGGTGGGTCATAAGAATTTGTGTTGAGATGAACATATGTGAAGTTGTTAGTAAAAGGAAGTTGGTTGAGTTTTGAAAGTTTGCATTCATAAACTAAGAGTCATTCTTTCTCTAAGATGGAAAATTTTCCACAAATTTTCTTAAGCTTTCTAATGGTTGATCTATTGATCACTTGCTCGAAAACCATTCCGTTTTCGTAAAGCCAATATAAACTAATGAAAGGGTTGGAGTTGACTTTCGTTGGCTTAGATCTTAGTAGGTAATTTGTATGATGCGGCTCGATAAGGATGTTGACTTTTGGGGCTAAAGCAATTGAGTTGGATAGAGTCTGGAGTTGGTGTAGAAAAGTGGCCGTTGCGCTTTTCTAATAAAGGTGACCCTTTTGCCTTTCTTCTGTAGCATTGTGCTTGGTGGCAGGTTGCACCTTGCATTTTGTTAAAACTCTATGAGAGTAATGAGCTTTCACTGATCTTGACTTAGTTTTGGTAGCCCTGTGCCTTGGCTAAGGATAGTGATGTTCAACTTAGTTGTTTGAATTGAGATGTTAGTACCTGTACTATAGCATT